GAGTCTTTTTATAGAAGTAAAGCATACATGCAAAAAAAAGTATTCAATCATAGTTGTTCAAATCTTCCTGAAGATGTGCTTATGCATCCAGCATCCAGCCACAGAACATGAGCATTATTCTACAGACCGTTCATACCTTTTTTCAGACCCTCTCAAGTATGATGACGGTCCTGACTTCTTACATTACAGATATTGTCTTGCTGGTTTTGAGCTTATGTGAACAGATAATTTTGCGTTCTCTTGTAAAGTAGAGCTGAGGGTTTGGATGATGAATTGGATATGAAGTGTGAAAGAGAAACCAAAGATTATTCTACAATTTTGGGCTGGGGTGACTGGATTGATGGTGATGTCATTTCCTAAGAGGGGAAAGTCTAGGTACGAGGGTTCATTGGTCACTTAAATTTTGAGGTATCCATTTTTACATTCAAACAGATATGTAAAGACAATGAGTGTTTGAGTCTGCATTTAGGGGGAAGTTCAGGGTGGAGTTGAATATTTGAGTGTCATTAGCTGGTAGGTATTAGGTGAATATGAGAAGATGGGTGAGCACTGAGGACCTTCACTGCAACACATAGCATAAGCAGAAGTAGCAAAGTAGTATGAAAGGGAGCATCCAGTGAAAGGAGAGCTGGAAAAGAATGGGATGATGTGCTGTGGACTGACTTGGTCATTGCCCATTCTGGCATGCTTTCTTGTTCTGCAGACTCGGGGAAGCTACAAACAGCAATTCTCCAATTTATAGAGTTTTTGATGAAATTATCCCCTTTAGATGTACTAGAGGAGACTTGGTTTCCAAACTGATGTAAGTGATGAGAGAGGCCTCAAGGGACCGATTTGTCAGTTGGGTTGAGACTGGTGGTGCTGGATGTCTTAGTGGTGGCAGAGGTAACACACTAGCTGTCAGCTGTTTCTGGTTGTGGCTTAGTTTTATGGTGTGATTTTTGGGAATCTTCTGGAAGTTCAGCTTAGAAGCTGTCCAATGAACCTTATTGACAATTGTTTGAGTTTCCCATGCCCCTGAGGGGTTTCTTTTGTTGCCAGAGTGAATTCAGTTTTCTGAAGCTGAAAACTTTGGCCAAATATGTGGTGTCATGGAAATCAAGTAAAGAAAGCGATGCAGGGAGAAGAGAAATCAATTGTGTGAAATGCAGCTGATAAGGTGAGGACTGAGGATTTGACAACAGAGGCCACGGATGACCTTAAAGATGGTGGTTTTGGTGAATTGCTGTGGATAAAAGCCGGAACTGGTTTAAGAGGAAGTGGGAGGAGGTGGAGGCCACTCTTGAGTTTTGATGAAGCAAGGAGCAGAGAAATAGGGTGACAGCTGGATGGCAATATGGGGCATTAGGAGTTACATGTGACTCCTGATGAGAGACCTCAAATCCCAGGGCTTGAAGCAGATGGCCTATTTTCTCAGGTGAAGGAAGTCTTGGATTTATAACCTGGTTTCACCAAATGCCTCTTAGCTATTGTTTGTCTCTTCTGTCTTTATTGCTTGGCTGTGTTTAAGGCCACTTTACAGTTGCTGGGTGACAATACCTTTAGCCATCATGCCAGTTTTCCTGGGTAGGAAGGGGGTGCTTAGGTGTTACTTGGTGTCTTGAATAAAACCCCTTTAAAGTTTCCTAGGAAACTTCAGCCAGTGACTTGACTAACATCTTGGTGCCTTTCCTCTGCCCCCTCACCTGTACAGAAAGTGAGGAAGTGTTTTTTTTTTTTTCTGTCCAGGCATGAAGCTGTCTTTGGCAATATAGGAACTCTGTATTAATCATGTAGGTGAAAGGGGTATTAGGTAAGCCACTGGAGCCTCTCCACAGAGATAATTGCAGGGAATGAGCCAGTATAAAGGGAAAATGAATGTAGGGTAGGGAGGAGATGACTGTCAAAGTGAAGTTTGCATGGGATCTTGTATACCTGAGGAAACAGTGGCTTTTGAAAGGAGGGTGGACAGTTGAGAGGAGAATGGGGTAGAGATAAGGATGCTGCTTGATAGACCTGGTGTCAGGAGCAAGAGAAAGTCCTGAGGGATTTTGCTGTCTCTGAAATTAGCAGTCATCAATTAAGAGGTGGGAGGAGGGGAAGGCAGTATTAGAGGTTTGAGGAAAGAGGAGGTGAGAATAGCCTCTTGAAGGTCAGGTAATTGGTGGCCTTTTGAGATTGTGACCTGGTGGTTTGTGTCTACTTCAGCTGTTGAATATATGCAGGATTGTAGAAGGCTGAATTTAGCTGGAATTGGGATCTAGGACAAGGGAAAGGGAAGTGAGTGTGCTCACAGGCATGTGTGGTAGATTTTGGAGGTCATGATTTTTAGGGAAAACTAGCAACACTTCTCTCAAATATAATGGGGGTCACAAATATAATTGTATGTTTCCTAGTAGCCACATTGAAAAAGAAAAAAGGGACTGGGGGTGTAGCTCGGTGGTAGAGCATCTTCCTTACATGTGCAAGGTTCAGGTTTGAGATTTGATCTCGGGCAACACACACGAACACAAGGGTAAAATTAACTTAAATGTATTAAAACACAATAAATACAGTACCTTATTTCAACACGCAATTTTTGATCAAAACTTGGTCATTTCCATTCATTCAGGTATTAAGTTTTTAGAATCTGGTGTATATTTGACACTTAGAACATATCTGTTCATATTGGCTGCTTTGTAATTGCCCTGTATGGCAAGCAGCTCCTATATTGTATAGTACGGGTCTGCAGAGTAACTATGGGTGGTTGAGGTGGGGGTAGGCGGCAAGGTTGCCAGAGATGATGTGGCCCTGTAACGAACACCGGAAGAGTAAGTAGGTATTGGGTGGAAGTTGAATACTGGGGAGTGTCAGAGTGTGCTGAGGACTGAATTCTGATGGTGAATCTGTGGGAATTTCATCTCTTTCCATCAGGACCTCTGTGTTCCTGTGCCTGAATCAGTGGGCATCCTTAAACATGCTTGCTACATGGCCTTCACCATTCTTTAGTGGTCTTTTTAGTTTTATGGTTTCTTAGTCCTTAAATTCTTTCTTGATCACTCTGATTATTGTTTTTCTCATCTGTTTTCTAAATCATTTTCCTCTAATTGTGTTACACTATGAGCTTATCTAGTTCTGAGAGTGTACCACATATTCCATTTTTAAAAAGCTCTATTTCTAAATAAAGTGACAATAAGATTTGTGATCTTTTTTTTTTTTAAAAGAATCTGAGGCACTTTTGTACTTGTCAGCCATTCTAGGTATTTTCAAAGACTTCTTAAAATTGTATAAGTTTAAAATACAACATGTTTTCACTTACATCTACATAGTGAAATGATTACTACAGATAAGCAATTTAACATAACTGTCATTTTATATAGTAAAGATGTGTGTGTATGTAGAGCACCTACGATCTAGTCTCTTGGATAATTTCCAGTAAAACTACAGAATTAGCTATAGTCCATATGCTGTATTTTTGGGTCTTTAGACTTATTCATCTTGCATAACTGCAATTTTGTGCTTTTTGACCTTCATCTCCCCATTTCTCTCCCCCTCCCACTTCTGGTTAGCCTCTTTCTGTTTTGTATTTACATAATCCACTTTTTTTGGTAGATTATTTTCAATCCCCGGGGATTGAATCCAGGGATGCTTAACCACTAAGCTACATCTCCAGCTCTTTTCATTTTCTATTTTGAGATAGGGCCTTGCTAAGTTGCTGAGGCCGACTTTGAATTCGTGATCTTCCTTCCTCCAGAATGACTGGGCATGTGCCACTGTACCTGGTTTATAATCCACTTTTTAAAAAGATTTAATTCTAAGTCTTGATGATTGACTTCTAATGCACATAGCTTTGTGATTTTAGTTTTCATATTTAATGGAATTTTAAAGCAAAGCCCCTGAAGCAATTTAGTATTTTTAAATTGACAGACTTTTGCATTTTTGTTTTTAGTGCACAAGTATTAAGGTCAAATAAAAATATACAGTTTTAAGATCACTGTGTTCATTGTGATTTCTTTTAATAATCTGGATAAATTGACATTAGGACTCAATAAGAATATTTTTGAAAAAGAAGATTGTAAAATCCTGAGTTCTTTTAAATGTTATAAAAGTAATGCATACTCATAATAGAAAATCTGGACAATATAGAAAAATGGATAGAAGAAAAAAGGTGCACTGAAGACAATCACTGTTAGTTTTGGTTTGTCTTTGTTTTTTTCTTTGAGATGGGGTATTATGATGTTGCCCAAGCTGACCTTGAACTTCAGACCTTCTTACCTCAGCTTCCCGAGTGACTGGGATTACAGGCAAGCACCACCACAATGTGTGAGGTCTTTATTTTTTAGTATCCCATCATATCTATTCTCTGTGTATGTAAGGTGCAACAGTTATTAACTAAGCTTTGTGTTCTGAGCACCTTTAAGGTAGGTGAGGCTAAGCTATGATGTTCAATAGTTCATATCTATTAAATGCATTTTCTACTTACAGTATTTTCAATTTAGGATGGATTTATTGGACTACAACCTCATAAGTCAAGGAGCATCTATATTTCTACTAACAGCTGCATGTACATCTTCTAGTTATTAACCATAAATCTTGTACAATCTGTATTTACACAGATGCATTTTTGTTGTTGTTGCGGGGCTGGGGATTGAACACATGGCCTTGTACGTGCAAGGCAAGTACTCTATCAACTGAGCTATATCCTCAGCCCCCAGATGCATGTTTTTTAAGATTATACACTGTTAGCATTTTTCCATGTGACTGGCATTCCTAACCATTATTTCTAATGTCTGTAAGTAAATTCCACCACTTTTCTTTTTAATATATTTTTAGTTGTAAATAAACACACAGTATCTTTGTTTTTAATGTGGTACTCAGGATCAAACCCAGCGCCTCACACATGTGAGGCAGGTGCTTTACCACTGAGCTACAACCCCAGTCCATTTTCTACTGTTTTCTTATCCATGTCCCAATTACATAGTTAGGTGCTTCTCATATCTGAGTTTAAGAACTTCTTAAAGTGAATGCTGTATGTTTTATAGGTCCGTCTCACCCATGAAATTAAACACAAGAATATTGTAACTTTTCATGAATGGTATGAAACCAGCAATCATCTCTGGATGGTGGTGGAACTCTGCACAGGTAAGGCTGTAAGGCATGTTCTGAAGTAGTCCCCTGATGCAGTATTGAAACGTAGTGTATGTTTGTATTTACCTTTTTAAAAAATTTGGTGGTACTGTGGAATTGAACTCGGAGCCTCATGCATTACCACTGAGCTATATCCCCAGCTCCTGTTGCTTTTTAAAAATCGTCTATTATAGCTATTATTATGTTAATTTGAAAAGCTATTGCTTGATGAATATTAGGGAAGGGCAAAAGATAAAAGATGTTTGGTAAAAGGAAAGATTATATAAAAGTTTATTTGGAGTTTACTTTGTTATTAAATTACCTGTATAGAAACTTGATATTTTAAAGTGATGATTAACTTGTCAAGCAAGTTTTCACAATGAATAAAAATAAACGCTAGATGTTAACTAGTTTTTAATTATCTAGTACATTCATAAAGCTGTTATCCTTTGGCTTTATGAAAAGGATACTTGCACTTTATAAGAACTGAAGCAATGTGGGAAAAGTACAGAGATGAACCAATAATTCTCACTCCTTGACAATGGAGATGTTATAGCTGTCTACACAATGTTCTGGGACTACATATAGGGAGGAAGGTGAATGAATACATTTTATCTGGACTTTTAGCCTTAACATTTTGAGTTTATCAGAAAAAAACTAATAAGCATCACCATTGGTGTACTTTATACCTTGATTAGTAATAAAGGATCATTGAATATTGATGTAATGTGATTATTTGCATTATGAATTTTGCTTGTCAGCAGTCAGAATTTATAAAACTTAAAACCAAATTACTTTTAGGGCTAATTTGTATTTTTCTGAGTCGGTGTGAGGGGGTCATGGTGGGATTACCTTAATAGACATACACATTGGCAACGTGATCAGGGGATACCCCTAATGTTATTTTGACTTCAGCTGTTTGTTTCTGACCCCTGACCAGGTGTAATATCCTATCTTAAATTATACCAATGTTGGTTCCTCATCCACCAAAAGAAAATAAACCCAGAATACCTTTTTTTTCCCCATCATAGTCATTCTGATTAAACTTTCACATGCCAGCTGAGACACTCCTTTATCAGAACTTGACTCCTGTTATAATCTTGATGCTTTAATTAAAAGTTTGCCCCTGGCACTTAGATGATAAGAGGCAGGACTGGCACCTTTGAAGGATAGAACAATAGAATTCACAGTGTGCTTGGCTTTGGCTTTTTGTCTCAATGGTGCCCAGTAAGGGTTGTGACAGCCACATTAGGGAGGGTGTCATCCTTTTTGCCATACAGCGCTTTGTGGAATGTGACCTGATGCTGCATGTGAGTAAACGAGCCTACGCTTTGTATGTTTAAGTGTACAGTTTGGGGTTAACGTTTAATTTTTGCAGCTGTTTATTTCCTAGGGGATTTGGGGGGATTATCCTCTCATCCATTTGCTGACTTAATACCATCCTTCCAGGTGCTTCCTGGGACTGACTCTAGGGTATGGTCACAGACATTGTTTACAGTGCAAAACCACTATGTATACAACTAGTCTATCAGGGTTTACTGTTTAAATCATATTTTAATGCTCACTGTCAGCCAGTATTGAACTTCTCAGAGACTTTGTGATGTTGGTGGGTTAAAATGGATGATTTTAATCAACTTATTGCAGGTGGTTCCTTAGAAACAGTTATTGCTCAAGATGAAAACCTCCCAGAAGATGTTATAAGAGACTTTGGGATTGACCTGATTACTGGATTATATCATCTTCATAAACTTGGCATTCTCTTTTGTGACATTTCTCCTGGGAAGGTAATTTATGAGTTTTGATTTCCTAATGGCTTATATCTCAATTTAGAGTGCTTTCTTCAAAGGTGTTACTTTTTTAAATGAAAGAAAATGTGTAGTACTACATTTTCGCTGCCTATTTAAGGAGTTTTTGGAATGTAAAGCCTCTCTTCCTTTCAGAGGTCTTTGAGTAAGTGCTTATTGCCACTGAGGTATATTGTAAATGATGAACCCAATAGGTAAGACTTTTAATTCTTAAATTATAGTACACATTTATGAACCATTATTTTAGCTTGGCAGTGGCATTCTTGGCAGTATATAGGCGATTCCTTATATCATGGATCAAATATTTTCTTTCTTGGTAAAATTGATTCCCATAACTAAATGTTCTTCAGTGTAAGTCATGAAACCTGCTTAGTTTGAGTTGCAGTCAATTTTTTAAAATTTATTTTAATTAGGTATATATGACAGCAAATGCATTTTGATTCATTGTACACCATTGCAACACAACTTTTCGTTTCTCTGGTTGTATATGATGTAGCATTGTACTATATTTGCAGTCATATATGTACCTAGGGTAATGATGTCCATCTTATTCCACCATCTTTCCTGCCCCCATACCCCCTCACCTCTCCTCCCTTCCCTTTGCCCAAAGTTCCTCCATTTTTCCTCCCCCCACCCCGCACGCCATTATGGATCAGCATCCACTTATCAGAACATTTGGCCTTTGTTTTTTTGGGGATTGGCTTTCTTTGCTTAGCATGATATTCTCCAATTGCATCCATTTACCTGCAAATGCCATATGTTATTTTCTTTAAATGCTGAGTAATATTCCATTGTGTATGTATACCACAGTTTCTTTATCCATTCATCTATTAAAGAACATCTAGATTGGTTACACAGTTTAGCTATTGTGAATTGAGCTGCTGTAAGCATTGATGTGGCTGTGTCACCGTAGTGTGCTGATTTTAAGTCCTTTGGGTATAGACTGAAGAGTGGGATAGTTGGGTCAAATGGTGGTTCCATTTCAAGTTTTTAAAGAAATCTCCATACTGCTTTCCAAAGTGGCGAGTTGCAAATCAATTTTGACACAGAGACTATGTGATCCTGGACAAATCGCCCTGCTTCTCTCTGCCTTAGTTTCCTTCTTTGTGATATGTAGATAAATATTTTCAGAGTAGTTAAAAGGATTATGTATTATATCTAGGTTAAACTTCTAGGGTGCTTTCTGGCAGGTAGTGTGTCCAAAATCAATGGTAGCTATTACTGTTTTATAAGTATAGGTCTGGAGGAATTGCACATGTTACAAGGCTGAGGTTTCTTTATGCTAATGAAGTGAAAAACTGAATATTTCATTTTAACTTTATTTTAGTAGGCCATCTGTATAAGAAAATTAAACCTGAAAAGAGAACTTCATGAAACTTTAACATGTAAAGAAGTTCTAGTTTGAATTATTCATATGTTTACCCCAAGCCTGCAGCCACCCAACTGTCATTGTAGTGCTGAAAACAGCTATAGACAGTGTGCAAATGCATGGGTGTGGCTGTGTTTCAATAACTTTATTTAGGGATTCTGAAATTTGAATTTCATAGAATTTTCACATGTCAAATATTCTTTTGATTTTTTTTTTTTTTTAATCCACTTGGAAATGTAAAACTACTTAGGTCATAGCTGTGCAAATCCAGGCAGTGGCTGGATTTGGACCAGAGAATGGGAGTTTAATGAATTTTATCAGCTGTTATCTAAAATTCATGCTGATTTGTTAAGTAACGTGTGCTCTAGAGCAAGAGTTGGGAAAGGTTGGGCAGGATTCCTGTCTGTTAATAAAGTTTTATTGGAATACAGCCATCCTACACAATTCTTTAATAAAAATCTACTTAGTAGTCAGGACAAAGATACTCTGGTTTGCCAATGGTTCTCAAAGTGTGTTCCTTAGATCAGTATTAATATCTGGGACTTGTTAGAGATGCAGGTTCTTGGGCTTTACACTGGACTTTAGGAATCAAACTTTTGGGGAGTGACTAATAATCTGCACTTTAACAAGTCCTCAGAGGATTCTGATGCTTGAGGTCCAAAAACCACTTTTGTAGACTAATAGACACGTTATAGTAAGTATTTATGACTAGAAGTTATGAGTTAACTTCAAGTTACTTTTAAAAACAGACGTGACCCAATCCATTGCAACCGCCTAGAAATATTCTTACTGACTCTAGAAGAAACCATGTCACTTCCCAGAATGTTTCTTAAAAAAAAAATGTATTCACAAATTATATTAGCAAACCTGAGTACTTATCACATGCTAGTCATAGTTATTAGCCCTTTGCTCGTATAAGTTCAAGTAACCCTTACAGTAGTCTGAAGACTCAGGTGTTTCACATTTTACACATGAAGTATCAGATAGCAAGTAAGTGGGCTCAATTCTAGTTCTGTAAATTCAGAATTCTGGTTTTTACCTTTTATTATATTGCCTCTTGAATAAAAGACATCTCAGGTTGATGGATTTTCCAAGCCTCTTAGATATCACGGAGGGTTGATAAATAAAGATTGTTAGGTATCATCATTCCTAGTTAGCCAAAAGGGAATTAGTTTCAGGACCCCCTTTTGTTACCAAAATCCTAGGATGCTCAAGTTCCTTATATAAGATGGCATAGTATTTTCAACTTATATTCTCCTGCGTATTTTGAATCTCTAGATTACTTATACAATAAGTGCTATGCTATGTAAATATTTGTTACATTACATTTATTGAATGATGACAAGAAAAAAGCTGAACAGGTTTAGTGTAGACCATATTAGTCAACTTCCTGTTGCCATGACACAACACCAAACAATTCAAAAGGAGGGAGGATTTATTTTGGCTCACAGTTGCAGAGGTGTCAGTCTGTGATCATTTGGCTCTATTGTTTCCGGACCTGTGGTGAGCCAGAATGTTGGTGGGAAGCTTGTGTTAAAGCAAAACTCCTTACTTCATGATGGCTAGGAAGGTGAGAGGAAGAGGTTAGGTGTAAAATACACACTAAGGGAGCACCTTCAATGACCTACTTCCTCAAACTAGGCCCCACCTCCTAAAGTTTCCACTACTTCCCAATAGCACATTAAACTCTGAATCCATAATTGGATTGGTCCATTCATGAGATCAGAGCCCTTATGATACATTCAATTCTCAAAGGCCCACCTCTGAAAACTGCACTGGGGAACAAGGCTTCAACACATTAGCTTTTGGGAGACATTTAAGAACTAAACCATAGGGGGATTCAAGATGGTAAATTAGAAGACTGTATTCCTAGTTGCTCTGTGGCTCAGGCTTCAAGCAGGGAGAGTACTGCTTCATAGTGAGGTGGGTGAAAGGGATTTCTCTAAAATTCAGTATTGGACAGTAAGAGTATCTTGGGGGTTCAGAAATCTTGAGAATGAAAGGAACATCTAGATACAGGAGGCATTTAGAACCCCAAATGTACAAGAACAAAAAACAACTCTGACACATCATAATTAAAACATAGGACAAGGATAGAATTTTAAACGTCTCTAGAGAAATAGGCCATAGAGGCAGGCCAAAAGAATCATTTCAGGTTTCTGAGCACAAACTCTAAAAGTCAGGAGGGCTTAGGATGATGCTTGTGTATTGCATGCGTGTGTGTATATTTTGAGTGTGTGTGTGTGTGTGTAAATTGGATTTAACAGATATCTGTTGTATGTTTCGTCCAACAACTGAATATACTTCCTTCTCAGTGACTTAGAGAACTTGCTCCAAAATAGATCTTATTTTAGGCTACAAGGCAATTCTTAGCAAATACAAAAAATGATATAATTCCTTGAGTCTTATCAGATCGTAATGGAATGAAATTTGAAATCGGCACCCAAAAACCCTACAGAAACTAGATAACCACATGGATATTGAATAACACTCTTTTGAATGATGAATGGGTGATAGAAGGAATCAGGAGAAATTAAAGTCTTAGACCCAAATGAGAATAGAGGTACAACATACTAGAAAAAACACTGTGGAGGCAGTTTTAAGAGGAAAGTTTACAGCTATGAGTGTCTACATAAAAAAATCAGAAGAGCCCAAACTAACAACCTAATGATACGTCTTAAGGCCATTGTACAAGAAGAAACCAATTCCAGAACCTATAGAAGGAAGGAAATAATTAAGATCAGAGCTAAAATAGAGAATAAAACAATGCAAAGAATCAATGAAATCAAGAGTTGGTTCTTTGAAAAGATAAACAAGATTGAGTAGCCCTTATCCAACCTAGCCAAAAGAAAGAGAAGACCCAAATTAAAATTACGCATGAAATAGAAATTACCATAGAAATCTGGAAGATCATTATGGACTATTTTGGAAACTCCAGTAAGCTGGAAAATCTAGAAGACATGGATGTTTCTAGACATGTGACCTGCCAAGATTGAATGGAGAAGACATAGAAAACCTAAACAGAACAGTAACTAGTAATGAATAGAAGCAGTAATGAAAAGCCTTCCAGCAAAGAAAAGCCAAGGATCAGATGGATCTTCAGCTGAATTCTAGATATTTAAAGAACTAATGTCAATGTTCCTCACATTGTTCCACTAAATAGGGATGGGACACTTAAAAAATTCATTCTACGAAGCCAGTATATCTTACCGAAACCAGGTAAGGAAACATCAAGGAAAGAAACGCAAATACCCTTAACTTAAATGCAAAAATCCTTAATATGTTGTACATATTTTGCTAATATTTTGTTAAGATTGTACATCATAATCAAGTTTTATTCCAGAGATGCAAGGATGGTTTAACATAAACTAATAAATGTAACTCATCACACACAGAACTAAGGGCAAAAATTGATCATCTAAATAAATGCAGAGAAAGCCTTTGACAAAATTCAGCATTAAAGAAACTAGGGATAGGGCTGGGGTCGTGGCTTAGAGGTAGAGCACTTGCCTACCATGTGTGAGGCACTGGGTTCGATCCTCAGCACCACATAAAAATACATTATGTCCACTTATAACTAAAAAATATTCAACTAAGGATAGAGGAAACCTCCAACATTACAAAGGCTGTAAGTGTAAAACTCCAAACCAACCTTGCAGTGAAAAAGGAAAAACGGAAAGCGTTTTCTTTAAAATCTGGAAAAATAGAAGGATGTTCATTATTACTACTAGTATTTAAATAGTGCTAGAAATTGTACGTAGGGCAATTGGGCAAGAAAAGGAAATAAAAGGGATAAAAATAGGAAAGAAAAGAGTGAAATGTTGCAGATGATATGATCCTATACTTAGAAGGTTCAAAGAAATCCACCAGAAGACTGCTAGAGCTAATTTAGCCAAGCGGCAGTTTATAGAATTGATGTGAAAATCAATAGCTTTCCTATATACCAATAATGAATATGCTGAGAAATTAAGGAAACAATTTCATTCACAATAGCCTTAAACAACAACAACAACAACAATAAAAAAAACTGAAACAAAAACCTAGGAATAAATCAAGGAGGTGAAAGACCGCTACAGTGAAAACTATAGGACACTGAAGCAAGAAATTGAAGACTCATGAAGATGGAAAATCTTCCCATGCTCATGGATAGGCAGAATTAATATTATTAAAGGGCCATACACCAAAAGTAATATTCAGATTCAATTCAATCTTCATCAAAATGCCAATAACATTCTTCACAGAACTAGAAAAAAAAAAGTCCTAAGATTCACTTGGAATAGTAAGACCCAGAACAGTCAAAGCAATTTGAAGCCAAAAAAAGCAATCTGGAGCTATCACAATACCCGATTTGAAAACCTACAGAATGGGAGAAAATCTTTGGTGCTATTCTTCTAACAGAATATTAATATCCAGAATATGTAAAGACTTCAATGTTCAACATGGAAAAAAATGAATTAAATAGATATTTCTTTAATATTATATATGTTATACTTTATTTTCCAGAAGTCTGAGGTTTCCCTGTGGTTATATGGTATCTGAGAATGGCCAATTCTATTTTTAAAATGTTGTATTTTTCAATAGCTTCTTTAAAAAATTTTTAGCATTTTTGAGTTGTGATGAAGCAAGAAAGCCAACTCTGAAAGTCTAAAGTGCAATTATAAGAAGTATTAATGGATATGCAAATTAAATTGAACTTGTTTCTAAAAACACATTTTGATCTTTATAGATACTCCTGGAAGGGCCTGGCACTTTGAAGTTTAGTAATTTTTGCTTGGCGAAAGTGGAAGGTGAAAATTTGGAAGAGTTCTTTGCCTTGGTGGCAGCAGAAGAAGGAGGAGGTGACAGTGGGGAAAATATGCTGAAGAAAAGCATGAAAAATAGAGTCAAAGGTATGTGGACTTGGAGAGCTTAAAGATCATAATTCTTGGGCCACCCAAGGTTTGTGTTTAGGAGATGGCATTGGTCTTGTGTTATAAACAAATCACATATTGAAAATAGAAACTACTGGAAGAAACCTGGACATGGGTATAGCTTTGTCCGTGGATTACAGATTTCCTTTTGGATCTAATATTTTTAGGTATGAGAAGCCTCTAATGCTATGTGCTAATTGATGTGTTACCAGCCACTCATTAGAACAGAAGGGACTCTTCCAGCTCTTTAGAACAGTGCCTGGCACACACTTGTAGTCAGTAAGTATTCTTCAATATCATTAAGTGACTTATCTTCTCCATTTGGAACAGATTTCTAGGGGGTGTATTCTTGGTAGGTTACTTTGACAATGAAATGGGGCTGGGGTGTTAAAATTACTGTACCTAAGGGAGAGTTGAAGTGATATTTCTATTTATTTTTCTTTGTGGTATGAGAGATCAAATCCAGGGCTTCATGCGTACTAGGCAAGTGCTCTGCCAGTAACTTGCATCCCCAGCCCTTGAAGTGCTATTTCTTCTACCTTTTGGTAGAAATGGTGAAGATCTCTCCTCAAATTTCCATGTACAGGTACCTGAGACTGGGGCCATTGAAGCTCTATGATACCTGCTGTGCCATCAGTTAAGTTGGGTGCTTGGGCTTGGCAGCCATGTGCCCTAGGGATGAGAGAGATGAGGGAAAAGTATGGAGAATAGCAGGGTAATTGTAGTCACCATAAATGTAGCCAAAGAAAATTAACTATTAGAGCCAGTCTTATATAGGAAAAATTTCATACCAACATCGCAGCTTTTAGGAACCTCAATTAGCTTTCCATATAATGACCAGCACTCAATGAAGATAATTATTGTGGGCTATATTAGTAGAATATTGAGTTCTGAGTTAAGATTTTATTATAGAAACCAAGAAAGGCTATTTCAGGAATGTATATTTGAAATATTCCCCTTTAGTAAGCGGAAGAGAGCTGTGTGAAGTAGTTAGAAGTTCTAGCATTGATGCTAGCACAGTCCTTGTGATGGGTCATGTCAGTGGAGAATGCCCTTATAACCAGCAGGGCAGAATCGGTCCTTGCCTTTGTGGGCTGTCCATGTCATAGCCAACTCGCCTTCACATTCTCTGATAATAAGCAAAACCACTTCTCTTTGGAGCTTTGATAATTTACAATTTAAGTATGGTGATGAACAAGGCACATGAAATAACCTGACTTTTGACCTAGTAAGTGACTGGGTGTTGTGGTGGGGTTGTCAGTTGGTCAGCAGTGGTGTATAACCATCAAGAATCTGTTAGGAGTGATGTTGTGATGAAAGCTTTAGATGGTCTGTATAAAGGTAGCATTGCAAAGAGCTTCTAAAAGGACACCTGGATTCTCATTCTGACTCGCTCCTCACTACATAACCTTGAGAATAACATCATAGCTTCTAGGATTTAATTTCCTGTTGATCATGGGTCCCAAACTTCAGGAACTGGAGGGTTATGTGAATGAATGAAATGGCCCAGTTTAAGAGCGGGGGAAGGAGGTTATGTTGAGCTGGTCTCGCTCAGTTCTGCCTTGGCTCGGTGTTGATTGATTGAGAGAAGCTGGGAATTTGAGTTGATTGATGAAATAAGTTTCAAGTTTAGAATTTCTTACCTACAGTTTAAAGTTTGGGTTTCCAGATCATCTGCCTATTTGCTTCTCTATTCTTGTGATGCCCCTAAAAGTGTGACTCATTCTTCAACTACAGGGAACATGATTGACCAAGGCCTCCTGTTCCTTGAGGGGCTGCTTTTGTTCTGAGGCAGTGCTCCCCAGAAGCCCCACAACCAGCATGGCAGGCTACTAATGCAGGCCTATTTCTGCGAGATGGTCTGATGTCAGTTTTGGTTCAGGGATTCTTGATGACTTTCTGAACCTCTCTCAGACTGTGTGGTATCTCACTTGGGGTCCATTATACACTGCTGTCTGACCAACTACCTCTAACTTAGAGCTTCCTGTAATACTTTCCTTGCACTGTTGATTTTTGACTTGGTGTCTGCTTCTTAGAAGACCTCGACTACCCCATCCCCCATGAATCCCTACCTTTTTTTTGTGGGGGTGGGGGTGGGGATGCAGTGCTAGAGACCAAACCCCAGGACCCTGTGTATGCCAGGGCAGTGCTTTACCTCTGAGCTACATCCCCAGCCCTCTCTACCTTTTGCTTTACATTCCATTAAAACAGCATGCTTACAGTTTTCCTGCACACATCAGATGGTTGCTCCCATATGTCCTTTTTCCTTTAGTTTTCCCCCTGTTCTTTTCTGCCTTCAGCTTTTTCCCAGATGACTACTTTTTTGTCTAGGATTTTATTGGACCAAGTATTTAAGTACTGGTTATTTCCTTTGATAGTATTCTATATAGTTTATCATTGAATTTATCCATATATATCCATACACACACACACACACATATTTATTTATTTTACCTGTTTGATCATGAATGTAGGGACTTCATATTCTTTTATTTGTTAAAATCTTTGATAATTTCATGTTTATTAATTTGACATTTAGACGTGTTCTAGGTCCTAGGAATATGGATGTGAATAAACAGGTAAAAACCTTGGTGCTCACTGAACTTAGATTTCTAGTGGCAAAAGATACAGTCATTCACATTTAACAAATATTAATGAAGCACCTATTAAGTGCTGTGCAGGGTACCTGGGTATCCCAAGGGTCCGATTTATCTTTGTTTCCTCAGCATCTAGGGTGGGCAAATAGGTCCTTCATAATGTTTGTTGAAGGAATTTGTGTATGAAATGTGATAGCATACCAAGAAAATTCCATGGGAGAACTGTAAAACCATACTTAGGAACATATAAGGCTGATGTTGTGGCTATAGTAAGCCGTGGAGGTAAAATGTGCTGGAAGGCTTACCTGAGTAGAATTTTGTTTCTGAATAATTGATGATTACTTCATGGGGAGAACATTCTTACTGGGGGTTGGGAGGTGGAGTGGATAGAATATGCACCAGGTAGAGAAGAGGGCCATGGATATTGGTGTGACTTGTGGGATTGTGAATACCCCTGTAACATCTCTCATCAGTGAATAAAGGAACTTTCAGGCTCTATTGTGGTGTTTCTGTGTAATGCTAAACTTGTATAAAGTATATATTATACACGTAAGTGCCACTCATCAAATATTTCCCATTCTCCTGGATATGTGGTAGGACTGCATCTTCTCCCCAGCCAAAGCCATTAAGGTTTGAGCAGAAGCCAGCGGAATCACTTGGAGGTGGGAATTTTAAGAGCCAGTGTGTAATTTGCTAATTCTTTTACCCTGCCTCCGAAACTGAGGATACATGGGTTGAGATGGAGCCTCCATCAGCCTGGGTTTTTGACAATGAGGATCAGAGTCCCTCAGTTGACTTGTGATGGACAAGGATTTTAACAAGTACCTTCATTGTTAAGCCAGTAGGATTTGGGGTTATGAAGACTGTCCAACAACCTTTTTTAATTATAATGGTATAATGAAGGTTTTTTTTTCTTTTGACTATATAAATTATTAAAAAGAGTATGTATGTATAAGAAACTGAAAGTTCCATGCCTCTCACTTAGGTGAATTTTCAAAATCTTTATATATATATCCTTTGCAAAATGTAATCTCAACAAACATGGGGCTGCAGTTGTAGCTCAGTGGTAGAATGCTTGCCCACCACGTGTGAAGGAGGTACTAGGTTCAATCCTGAGCACCACATAAAAGTAAATAAAATATAAAGGTATTGTGTTCAGCTATTACTTACAAACAATATTTTTTAGTTGTAGTTGGATACAGTATCTTTAATTAATTTATTTATTTTTATGTGGTGCTGAGGATTGAACCCAGGGCCTTGCCCGTGGTAGGCGAGCGCTCTACCCCTGAGCCACAACCCCAGCCCTGATAACTAAAAAATTAAAAAACAAACAAACAAAACTGCCTAGACTATTGAAAAAAATTAAACATTTTAAAAAGGTGAAATACACATGAAGTTTTTATTCATGTATGTTTTCTTCCTGTCTTCTACCATCTCACTAGATCTCTCCCAGGTTGAGTGGGTATAATACAAATGCCTAATGGAGTTGTTCTTTATACTTTGTTTTTAGGATCTCCTATCTATACAGCACCAGAGGTTATGAGGGGTACTGACTTCTCTGTCACCAGTGATCTCTGGTCTTTGGGCTGTCTGCTTTATGAAATGTTTTCAGGTGATTACTTTCTGGTTTAATGTAAAATCAAGGTTGGACTACAATAAATAAATAAAAAGCAGGTTAATTCTGTAGTTTGCAAATATTTTACCTATAAGATATAAAAAAGCTGGTTTTATTGTTTTTGTATATACCCATTTTGGCTGAATTGCTTGATACCTAGGTGTATATAGGTTTTAGAATTTTTTTGACATGTAGGTAAATTGTTCATGATAATAATCTGGAATATCAAAATGTGTCTATTAAAAACTGATTGTTAGTAGAAATTCTTGTAAAGGTGCCTTGTGACAGAATTAAGATCTGTTGAGTAGCCCATGAAACCCTTGGATCATGGTAGTGATCTATAAGTGATTTTATATGTTGGTTAGAATAATAAATTTTGAATTAGAAGTATAAAAAGATAGCATGTGCTTGATGTACATATTAGGTATCCACAGAGTAGTACTTGTTTTTCTCTATAAATTGTATATTTCTAAAGTATTTGTAGTTGAGATAAGTTTAGAATTGGTGATAGCAAACTGTTTAATTTTGCAAGTTTATGTGATTTCAGGAAAACCTCCATTCTTCTCAGAAAGTGTTTCAGAATTAATTGAAAAGATTTTATATGAAGATCCTTTACCACCTATTCCAAAAGGTAAGATTTCAAAAAAGTACAGTTAATTTATACCTTATACTGCGTATACCTTTCCCCAAATCTGCTTTACTGATACATAAACTTCAAAAGTACTTTACAAGTAATCCCAAGTTCATAATTTTTTCTTTGCCATTTTTTGATATTTAAATCGAAAAGAAAGTAATACTAAGTTTGATTTAAAAACATGAATTTTGTTCTCTTATAAGAAAACAGATTTAAAGATTTAAGACTCAATCATCATACATGTTTCTTGACTGTAATACTTATTTTTTTTGTATTCATGTCTCATATGATTATTTCTGTGTTGTGTAGAACACATCAGGTGATTATCTGTCTTTAGCTGGATGAATAGTAATGCTATCCTGAGAAATTTTAAAAATCTTTAAAATTTAGATATTGTTGTATTTAAAAAATGTTGGATCTTGGGCTGGGGATGTGGCTCAAGCGGTAACGTGCTCACCTGGCACACGTGGGGCACTGGGTTTGATCCTCAGCACCACATAAAAAAAATGTTGTGTCCACCGAAAACTAAAAATAAATATTAAAAAAAATTCTCTTAAAAAAAAAAAAGTTGGAACTTTAATTATACAAATTGTGGCTGACATAACAATCTACCATACATTTTAAGAAATGAAAAATAAAACATTATTAAATAAGTTAATCTTAAGACACATTTGAATATAGGATTCCACAAATATTTGAATATTTAAAAGAAAAAAAATTCCGAAGCAATGAATGGAGTAAATAGAAATGCAGAATACTTTTGATATTTCTAGAATTATCTTAGGTGGAAAAAATGAAAAATCTTGATTGCCGCAGTCTGGCTGGGCACAATTCAGGAGCCACTTGTCAAAAGAAACGAACTTTATTTTTAGAACACACACACCACACCACACCACTCCTCAGGAAAAACCCTCAGAGCCCAACTGCCACCACCGGCTTCCCACAAGCCTCTCCACCTCCCCCACTTCTCCTGCTCTTGAGGCCGATTGGCTGGGTCGCGTGGGCGGAGCCAAAAAAAGTCCCCCAATGAGCAGCTCCGTGGTCTGAAAGGGCAGGGAAACAGCCCAATGAGCATCACCGCAGAGGAGCCAATCAGTTGGCAGCTAGAAGTTTGCTGGGGCCGCTGTGAGCCAATCATCAGCTGGCAGCTGGAAGTTTGCTGGGGCCCCTTTCGGCTGTGGCTCTCAACATCTCCCCCTCTCTGTTTAAACAACAAGCATGTGGCTTAGGGACCGTGCCTGCCTTAGGTTGTCCAATACTACATTTGGTCCTTACCCGTCGTCGGATGAGCTGACCTCAAGGCGTCAGCCTCCTGTCTTAGGTTGATACCATTGCAATTGGATCTTGACTACCGGTCCAGCATACAGCCACACCTGTGGATAGGTCTTTGTACCAGTGTGGGGGGGTTCTTTGCCTCACCTCTGTTGGCCCCCAAATTTTAGCTGAACGACCATCACAAGCAGAAGGGAGGAGGATATACCAAGCCAATTGATGGCTCCTTTTGGAAAAATTGTACCACCAATGACACCATCAGCAAAAATACCCCAACACTACCACAAGTCGCTGCACCAACAGGTAGTTCACAATGCATACAAGTGAGTTCACAATGCATACAAGTGATACATAGTCCAGGCAAGTTCTGCAAGCAGTTCAGTGATGGCTATTGCAGAAGCTGTAGATTGGTTTTATCTTTGTCTTCACCGGCACTGGGATGAAGATAGGAATTCTGGCAATAATGGCTAAAGAAAAAAATTATGTAACATTCCAGAAGGCACTAAAAGAAAACAATTTTCTGAACAATTTACATTATCTTGAACAGAATTATTAAATATAATGAAAAGGAAAGGTGAAAGTAAACAAACAGATCTGTTAACCTCCTTTTTTGTTCACATATTAAAACAATCCTCAACAGCTGTTTACCCAATTTAAATTAAATCATTTAAATCACGTGAATAAAAAAAAAATTTGGATCCATTTTTTCATGAGTGCTCATCATATATGATATATGGACATACGTACATACAACATAAAACACAAGTGTGCACACAACACATAATAGTAAAGGCCTTATAACTTTTTACAGGTGAAATCTCCATTGCAATGTTTAAAAACTCTATAGTCAAAAAATAGAACTGATCAGCAAAACATTAACCTAGGTCTGTATGAGCTCAAAAAACAAAATAGAACTTCATGATGTGGGAAAGGGTAATAATAAAATAGATATTGAAAAAAGCATCCTGGTTCTGTCGCAGACGTAAGGATAGCCAAACTGGAGTTTTGGATGTCAGCTGTTACGGATTTGAGCCAAATCATCTTCTTTTTGGTCTGTAGAAATCGCTTTAGTTAATCTTTCTGGAATCCAAATCGGCTGCTGTTCTCCCTGTGGAAACACACAAACAGACCGCCGACTCCAGACAATCACTGGATCAGGACTTTAGTTAATCTCTCTGGAATCCAAATTGGCTGCTGTTCTCCCTGTGGAAACACACAAACAGACCCCCGACTCCAGACAATTACTGGGTCAGGACCTTTCCATTGTCCTGTTAGAATATCCTTCCAAAGTACCTTGGGCTTATGTACATTTTTTGGACACATATGCCTTTCTGCAGCGCTAAGCCCTGATGAATCCAAATTTAAAAAGTTTAGAGTAAAAAGGGTTATTTTAAGTTTATCTTTGGGGAATATATACCCCTTCCAAATTCCCTCTTTTTGCTTTAATAAGTACATTTTAATAGTTTGATGAGCTCTTTCAACTATGCCTTGTCCCTGTGGATTGTATGGGATTCCTGTTATATGAGTAATGCCAAATGATGAGCAAAATTGTTTAAAAGAGGTAAAGTATAACCAGGGGCATTATCTGTTTTTAACTGTTTTGGAACGCCCACAGTGGCAAAATTTTGTAAGCAATAAGCTATAATATCTTTAGTTTTTTCTCCGGCATGAAGGGAGCCCATCAAAAATCCAGAAGAAGTATCAACTGTAACATGCAAATATTTTAATTTTCCAAATTCTGGCAAGTGTATGACATCCATCTGCCAAATATGGTTAGGTATCAGTCCTCTAGGATGGATTCCAAGATTAACTTGTGGTAAAAAGGTTACACAATTTTGACATTGTTTTATTATTTGTCTAGCTTGTTCCTTAGTTATTTTAAAACGCTTTTGTAAAGTATTAGCATTGACATGGAACTTTTTATGAAAATTTGTAGCTGCTTCTAATGTAGAGAAAATATGTATGTCATGTGTAGTTTTATCTGCTAAATCATTGCCCAAACTAAGGGCTCCAGGCAATCCTGTATGTGCCCTGATATGTCCTATAAAGAATGGATCTTTTCTATCCCAGATTAGACTTTGTATAGTGGAAAGCAAAGAGAAAACAGTAGAAGAAGGGGAAATCCTACCAGCATCTTCAAGGGATACTTGATGCCTTGAAAATAATCTTTCTAGAATTAATCTTTCCTCCCATGCTCCCCTTCCCTACCCCACTATGAGTCAGCCTTCGGAGTAGGAGGGAAAGGAAGAGGGCAGGGGATTAGCAAGGATGGTGGAATGTGATGGACGTCATTATCCAAAGTATATGTATGAAGACACGAATTTGTGTCAACGTACTTTATATACAACCAGAGATATGAAAAATTTGGCTGTATACATGTAATAAGAATTGTAATGCATTCTGCTATCATTTATTTTTTTTTTAAAAGTCAATTAAAAATTTTTCTTAGAAGATGAAATTTTTTTTAATAAGTATTTTCTGGTAAAAGTTACAGGTTTTCATGTGGGGAAGAGAAATCTGAAAAAGTGTTAGGGGTCAGGTCACAATATCACAGGTGGCCCAAGCTTAACTATTTAGGTGATCTTCATCAAACTTGGGCCACAGTGCACAGTGGTACCATCTGAATTGATTGCCTCGTCTCAGGGGTGTTTGGCTATTGTCTTAGGTCATTTCTTTTTACCTTAAACTGATGAATTGTCCATAATTTAATGCCCATCTAACTAAAAAGACAAAATTATGAGATTAATGAAGTTGGCTGGTTTTATAAACTTGCAATGTTAATTATTTCCCTGTTAACGAACTTCAAAATAAAGAAGTTATTACAAGTAGTTTAATGATAGTGTATTTGTAAAGCAAGGTTGGTCAGGATAGGAGTCCTTCTGAGAATAAGGCTTAACCAATTGCAGAAGGCAGAAGCATCAGTGTAAGGTTGGTGACTTTTATTGAGATTGTTTGTTGGTAAAAAGGAAGTTTAAAGGTTAGGTAAGACTTAGTTTTTGAGATTCATTATTTCCTGTGATCTAGAAGTTTGGTACCTTTGTGCTGTGCACCTCCCCTGTCCTGCCCCATTAAATGGAGGCTGTAATTGTTCTCTTAAAAGTACTTTGTAGGCTTAAATTAGTATTATTTTAAATATTATGATATAGGCTTAAAAATGTTGTTATTCATTACTTTTCACTTTTTCTTTTTGGAAATTTGCTTACAGATTCTTCGCTTCCTAAAGCATCTTCAGATTTTATTAATTTGCTTAATGGGTTACTTCAAAAAGACCCTCAGAAAAGGTATGAACAGTTTTTAACGTGAATAATTGTATAATCTTTTTCTGACATACTTTTAAAATAGTGTTGTTCTTAATATTTAAATAACTATTCAAATTACTTTGTTTTTAAGAAGTCTGACTTTGGATTGTGTTTTCTCACTTTATAGGAGTTTTTAATCATGAGTTATTTCTAGTCAGTTCCTCTTTTCATGAATTAAATAGTTGCCAGTGTAGGGGTGTAGCTCCAGGGCCTAACATGCAGGAGGCCCTGTGTTCCATCACCAGCATCATGTTTAAAAAAAAAAAAAATTGCCTAGTAGATACATTATTTTCTTATGACTCCCAGACCCAAGGAGTACACTCCTTTCCATTGTAGGTGGCTGAAAGTGTTATAGACTATAGAACTAGGAATGATGCTGTCAAGAGAGTTAATTCTAAGTGACATTTCAATGTGATGTCTTTTATAATAATCCTGTCATAATGAAGATAGCACTGAAAAGGATAATAGGCATATGATGAATTTTTGGAGTTTCAGTGATGGTCAAGAAGTTAGAAATTGTTATAGTAGTAGGTCGGGGAGGCTGGGGAGTCTCCTTAGTTTGAAAGTGTGTGTGGGGGCATGGAGCCCAGGGATCCCAGGGCCTTGTGTGTGCTAGGTAAGTGCTGTACCACTGAGCTACATCCCCAGCCCAAGAGCAACTGCTTTTCTGGTTCTGCCACTTGATAGGTGGAGGTTAGGGGGAGGGTTTAGTTAAGTATCTGGGCGCTCTCTTTCTGGGTATAAAATGGGGAATGTTTAGTATAGCATGTAAAATAATTCCCTACTTCTATCAAATGTATGAAAAACACTGTAGAAGGAGATGCAAATGCTTCTATAAGCTGTAGGACTAAACCTCTTTTGCTTATATTAGAATACTTTAGGATTGGTGTTATTTTGGTGGCTAATTTTTCAGGCATTTTTTTTTTTGTATTGTACCTTTATTTTTTAAATTTATTTTTATGTGGTGCTGAGGATCGAACCCAGGGCCTTGCACGTGCCAGGCAAGTGCTCTACCACTGAGCCACAACCCCAGGCATTTTTTGATAGGATATAAATATAGATGATTTATACTCAGTGCTCTGTATCTGTAGGTTCTGAATCTATAGATCCAATCAGATGCAAATTGAAAATATTAATTTTAAAATATGTATTAGCCGGGCACCATGGCACATGCCTGTAATCCCAGTGGCTCAGGAGGCTGAGGCAGGATGATTGCAAGTTCAAAGCCAGTCTTAACAACTTAGGGAGGCCCTAAACAACTCTAAATAATATATAACAAAGGGCTGGGAATGTGGCTCAGTAGTACTGGGGGGAATCCCTAGTACTGGGGGGAAAAAATTGTGTACTAATCATGTATAGACCTTGTTCTTGTGAGTAGCTCCTAAATAATACAGTATAACTATAGGTACATGACATTTATATTACGTTTGGTATGATAAGTAACCTAGAGATGATTTAAAGTATAGAAGGGGATGTGTGAAGGTGGTATGCAAATATGTCATTTCATAAGAAATTTGAGTATCCTTGCATTTTGGGGATATGTTGGTGGGATGATCCCAGAATCAATCCCCCAAAGACACTGGGGGACAGCTATATTTAGGATGGTATATCTGCAAATGCCTACATTTATATTATATAATTTTTCTTGTATACTCTTTTTGCTTAAACAATACTACTCCATAACCAACTATTTTCTCTCATGGTATATTATGGAATCTTTTTCCCATATTAATAAATATATATCTGCTTAGTCATTTAAAGTGGCTGAAGAATGTAGGTGCAATAATATATAATAAAAATAGACATTTAGAGTGTTTCTTGATTTAGAATATTATAATAACTGGACTAGATATCCCTCTGGGTTTTGTGAGAGTGTCCACTTGGGCAATGATCTTTGTATAAATTTCTCAAAGCAGGATTGCTCAGGCTGGGATCAGTTTGGTACACTTGCTACATTTCCGCTGCCAGCGTATGTTAGCAAGCTCCTTGGCTTCATCTACAGTAGGCTTGCTTAAGTTTTTAAGTGTTTGCTAATCTGATGGATTAAAAAAAATCAATTTTCCTTTATTGACCATTTTTATTTCTCTAGTAAATTATAAGTACCCTTTGCATGGAAAAAATTGTGTACTAATCATGTATAGACCTTGGGGTTGGGGTTGGGGTTGTGGCCCAGTGGTAGAGAGCTAGCCTAGCATGTGCAATGCCCTGGGGCTGGGGTTGTGGCTCAGTGGTAGAGAGCTTGCCTAGCATGTGCAATGCCCTGAGTTTGATCCTCAGCACCACATAAAAATAAATAAATAAACCAAAGGTGTTGTGTCCAACTACAACTAAAAAATAAATATTTAAAAAAGGACACTTTGTGTAAAAGGATATTACTATATTTAGTTGCAAATTCTTTTAAAATTTTTTACTTTTAATCAAAGTGATTTTTATTTAAATTGATATTTTGAAAAATTTAAAAAATTCTTTGTTTTTAATTTTCAGTCAGGCTTAACTTTTCTCCATCTAGTGAGTTTAAATCAGTAGTAACATTTGATTCTTCAAAATTGAATCTGGGTTTTAGATAAGCCTAAAGACACTTTAGTGTAAGTGAACAAGCTAGATATGATTTTGTCTCCTGATTAGGGGTGTAGCTGTATATAGTTAAGAAACAGATATTCCTATTTCTGAACAGGAAAGGTTAAATTCCCCAACTAGCAGGATAACTAAAATAATCTTGCTGCTCTTGGGATATAATGGGTGACAGAATTATAGATGGATAATATCTGACATATTTACTTTAAAATCGCAAATTGTTTGACTCCCTTTCTAGACTGGTTGGGACACCTGAAATATTTTCATCCAGCTCAATGTAATGTGAAACCTGAGACTTGTAATTCCTAGTTTCATTATGTACCATTTAAAGCTTCTGAAATATTTCTTCTGACTTTGTTGTCTAAGAGGTTAATTGAGTTCTGAAATGAAACGGTAAACTATAAAGCAATTTTAAAGGTACATTTGCATGATTTTACAAATTATAAAATCTGATGTTATATATAATTGGGAAATGCCCTGGGAATTCTCTGTGGTAAATCATGCTAAAATGGAATTTTAATATTTGTTTTATCAAGATTAACTTGGACAGGACTACTGCAGCATTCATTTTGGAAGAATGCTTTCACTAGAGAAGACCAGGAATCCAACATGGAGGGTTTCAGCTTCAGGTAGTATAAACTTATCTTTGTGCTTGGAGTGTAGTTATTGAACATATGTGCCCCTTACTATTCTAATGATGCAACATCAGTGACCTGAATTTTTGTGCTTTCATAGAGAAAATATAGCATTTGTATAATTTAGGGTCGCTAATGAGTTTAGTCATATTTTTGTGTTCTTGACTTTGCTCATTTTCTGACCAGTTTTATTTTTTATTTCAATCAGTGATGTATTATAATGGTTATCAGTCCTGCTCGCCCAACATACCTGGCTTCCTGCCTTCCAAGTACATGGTAGAAAGCCATTTCCCCTTTTAAGTTAGGTGTGGTCATATGACTTGATTTGGCTGATGTGAGCAGAAGTGATGTTACTTCTGTATAGAAACTTCAAGAACTAGTGTGTGATTGGTCGCGTTTCTTCTTTCTGCTGGTGTAATCTGGAAGGAAAACGTCAACATGAAGTTTCTGTCAGCCTGGCTCTTGAGTAATAGTGATACACTTGGCATTCCTGCCAACCTTCAATGACTGCACATGAGTGAGATGCAAAGTAGTGAGATTCTAAGGCACCCAGATTTGATGTTTGGATATAACCATTGCATCACCTAGCTCATCCTGCCTAATGTACTTCATGTTTATTATAAAATCCTCTTAGTCTTGGACACTTAGCAATTGAGGTGTTTGTAAAAGAGCAATGTGTGAAAAGTAGCTGAATAGGGAGAAAGTCTTACTTGACTAGCTTCTCCCATCCCCAACTCATTTGCTGGTGAAGGATTGTCTGCTTATTTTTAATCTTGGCAGATTTAATATACTGTGCAGAGAAGTGAGAATTCTACTTATAATTTCTCCCAAACTTGAATTTCTGTGATCAATCAACTATGTTCTTATTATTGTATTAGGCTCTCTGGAGCCACAGAACTTTGAGTTACAGCTTCCACCTTCCATTTGCTTATAATCTGGCACAGAGTTGGCATTATAGAAAAGAAGAAAGGTGCATCAGCAGAGTGGGCTCTGGTTTTTGTTAGTGTCAGCAAGACTAGGACACCTCTGATCCTTAGTTCATCATTTCTGAAATGAGTGGAGTTATTACTTTACCCAGAGAGTTGTAGAGGGAGAAATGAGAGACTGAAAAATGAAAACACTTTGAAAAATAAAGACTATAATAATAGCTACTATTAATTTTCTGCTATATCTTAGCATCCTTTTTTGTACATTGGATGGATATTTAGATCTGACTTAAAGAAATGAACTAATGTAACTTATTGTTAAGTATGTTTTGTTTCTTTGCATCTATTTAGAAAAGTTTGCTAATCAAGCAATGAAAGATTTTTATGTTAATTACAAGTTTCTTACATAGCCAATCATTTCCTCTGCAAATAATGGTAGTTTTATTTCTTCCTTTTGGATTTTCATACCTTATTGCATTTGCTAGAACTTTTCCAGTGAGAGATTAAATCAGGAATGATGAAAGTGGAAATCCTTGGTTGGTTTCTGGGGTTAGGGTGAAAGCATTCTGTCTTTTCCCTGATAGGTATGATGTTAGCTGGAGGTTTTTCAAATTGCCCTTTTTCAGTTTAAATGTAATGCACTGCTTTTTCTGTGTAATTTCATGTGATAATATGGCTTTTTTTTTTTTTTTTTGAGGCTCTTGCTGTGATGGATTAGATTAGTTGGTCTTCAAATATCCAGCCAGTCTTATCCTTCCAGAGTAGACCCCTTAGTCATGGTATATTGTAGTTTTTATGTCTTGCTGGATGTCTTTGGATTTAAGAGGTGGGAAGGAGGAAGCAGAGTAAGAGGGATTTGCCCCATTTTCGTGGGGTCCTAGCTCTCCAAGGGTTCCTCTTTTTTCCTTAGCATTCCAGGCACTGGCCAGCATCTGCTTTTGTCCCCAATAAGCTGTTGCAGTATTACCTGGAGGCTGGGTAGGACACAAGGGGAAAAGAGAAAAACAAGAGGGGATTTCCTCTGCCGCCTTCTTAGGAATTCCCTTTTCTGTTCCTTGGAACAGAGATAGAGGGCTTTTCTTTGTACCTTGCTGCCTTCAAGTCCACGCCAGGCAACTGAAAAGGAAAAATAATGGGAAATTCATTGTTGGGTTTAGTTACTGCTTTAGTGTTATCTTAGTCTGCTTGCTACCATTCATTTTTCAGGGAAAGGGTTATAGACATCTGGATATGACACTTTGTATATAGAAACTGCTCATTTTAACTATCTGGTGAAAAATATTCCTTTTTCTAACTATGACTTTCCAAATGTCATGCGTAATTTAATTACTTTTTTCAACCTTGTGCTCTACACATAAAACTGTAGAGTTTGAATAAGTTTGTGTTGCTTTTTCTCCTCTTGATTGACAGAAATGTGATCGAGTGTTCAGAACCACAAGATTCCAAGGAGTTTTTGCAGAGCCCTCAGAATGGACAATCGAAGGGGCAGAAGGGTAGCCAAAGGCTAAGCCAATCTTTCAGACTTGGTGAGCTTTCATTCCAGTACATTCATATTGCTTTGGATTCTGTTTTCCTAATTTCAGTCTTAGCTTTCTTTTCAAATTTCTATGTTCTTTACTCATGATACTTCTATTTCTTTTGGATGATACCTTGTTTTTCTGTTTTAGAAAATCCAACTGAGTTGCGGCCGAAGAATACTGTTGGGGGTCAATTGAATGAATCCATATTTCTTCTTAGGTATGTGAAGTCCCAAAACAAGGAATCAGTGAGAGAAGTTTTCTTAAAGCACTTTTAAGAAAAAGTGCTTAAGTAACATGGTTTGCTGGCAAACCATGTTACACAGAGATGAAGAACACGGATATTAATTCCAGATTCCACTCTTCACTCTCCATTTTCAAGGTTGTAGTTAAGTGATGGCCAGGAATCTAGATTTTGCTATGAATTTTAAAAAATGCTTTTCCTATTTGTAAGATCAAAGCCTTTTCATTTTGTATTTTAACTTCAAATAAAAATGAATTTAAATTTTCAGAAGTCAAGCTATTTTATTTTTTTTGGTGATACTGGGAATTGAATATAGGGGCCCTTTATTGAAATACAGCTAAATATTTTCCATCCTTTGTAGAATCTTTGACTTATTATGTTAATCCTGCCTGTACTGGCAGACATTTAAAAAATTATAAAATGAATAAGTTTCTAGCTTTAAAAAAAACAACAACAAAAAGCTATAGCACAGAAGCTGCAAGTGAAAGAAATAATAAATTATCCAGAAATTGCTTTAATAACAGTTACAAAAATTATAGCATATAAACACAAATTAGAGTTTAAAATTTTGGTGAGATCATATGTAACCATCACATTCTACCAGTTTTCATGGTATGTGCGTTCCCCCTCCCACCCCCCAGAAAATACTAAGCAGCAGATAAATTTTGTGAAATCTGAATAATGTTGAATTGTGTGTATTTTCCAGTTCTCGTCCTACTCCAAGAACTAGCACTGCAGTGGGATTGAGTCCTGGTGAGGATATGACTCACAACTCACCCCAGAAGACCTCTCCTTTGACCAAGGTGAGCAGTGACAGAATGTTTTCTATATAAGATATAGAAGCTCAGAAAAAAATAATTGCAAATTGATATTTGAACTGTGTTCATAATTGCAAGGGTTATAATAGTTATTTTCTGTGATCAATTTTTTTTTTTTTTCTAGTAGCTACTCTAAAGGAAATATCCCATTTTGTTGCTTCTTAGTTGTTGTTCTGGTAATGGCTTTGTGTGTGCATGTGTGGGGGGTGGTAGTGAGGATTGAACTGAGGGTGCTCTACCAGGACCTATATCCCCAGCCATTTTTATTTTGAAAGAAGGTCTTGCAGATTTCCCAGGCTGGCTGTGAACTTGGGATCCTCCTGCCTCAGCCTTCCTAATTGCTGGGTTTACAGGCAGGAACCACCCTTGGTAGCAGCTTTATTGAGATAAAATTGACCTGGGATAAAAGTAACCCATGTCAAGGGTACAAATCAGCGTCTTTAAGCGTATTCGTAGTTATTCAACCATTACCCCAGTGAATTTTAAGAACTGTTTCATCATCCCATGAAGAAATCCTGTAGCAATCCTCCCCCACTTCTTCCCCTCTCTTATCCTAGGACATCACTTATGTACCTTTTTTCTAAACTTATTATTCTGGCATTTCATATAAATGGGATCATACAATATGTGGTCTTTTATGACTATTTTTCCCCTCACTTATTAATAGGGTATTTTCCCAGATCTGTCCAAGTTGTAATATGAGTACTATATTCCCTTTAATTCTCAAAAAAAATCTGTTGTATATATACCACATCTTTTTTTTCCCCATTCACCAGTTTAATAGACACTTGAATTGTTTCTATCATTTGGCTATAATAAAAGTGCATTTTTAGCAGGCTGAGGTTGTGGCTCAGTGAAAGAACGCTTGCCTAGCATGTGTGAGGCACTGGGTTCGATTCTGAGCACTGCATATAAATAAATAGAATAAAATAAAGGTCCATTAACAACAATATATATAAAAGATTTAAAAAAATGCATCTAAACATTTGTGTACAGTTTTTGTGAGGGTGTGTATTTTCATTTCTTTTGGGTATATACTGAGGAGTGTAATTGCTATGTCATAGAAACACCTTGTTTTAACTTTTTGAGGAACTTTCAAACTGACTTTCAAGAGTACTGTTGGACCATTTTACAGTCTCAAAAGCAGTGTATTAGGTTTCCAATTTTTACATATCCTCAGCAACATCTGTTTTTTTTTTTTTTTTTTTTTTAAATGTGGTAGGTGCTGGGAATGTAGTTCAATGATGGAGTGCTTACCTAGAATGCTCAAGGCCCTCGGTTCAACCCACAGTACTATGAAAAAAGAGTTGTAAAAATATACATTACATTTATTTTACTATTTTAATTATGTCTAAGTGCAGTTAAATGGCATTATTTTCAAATTTTTGTACAGTCATCCTCACCATCCATCTCTACAATGTTTTCATTATCTCAAATTCTACCCATTGAACCCCCAAATCTCTGCCTTCAGGGTTCATCCATGTTATAGCATGAGCCAGAATTTCATTCCCTTTTAAGGGTGAGTAATATTCCCTTGTATGCATTTACCACATTTTACTTAGTCTTCATTTGTTAATGGACACTTGAGTGATTCCACCTTCTGGCTATTGTGACTAATGCTATGCTGGTTTTTTTTTTTTTTTTTTTTTTGATTATAATAATCCCAGTAGGTGTGAAATTCCGTATCATTGTACTTTTGATCTGTCTTTTTTTTTTTTTTTTTTTTCGTTTTATTTATACTAAGGATTGAAACCAGGGGTGCTTAAATCCCAAGCCACATCCCCAGCCCTGTTTATATTTTTGAGTCTGGCCTCTAATTTGCAGTTTCCTGTCTCAGCCTCCTAAATTGCTAGGATTAAGGGCATGCATCACTGAGCCCGGGAGGCTGCAGATCTTTCTTGATTTCATCCCTCCCACTGGTTCCACCACCTGGACCACAGTGCCATAAGCTCCTTCTGATTTTGCCAAATAGGAGGATCAGGACGGAATGCAACTAGAAGCCAAAATTTTGAACTTCTAGGACTTTGGCTAAATTGTCCTTTTTCCTTCTCTGGAAAATTAGGGGCCCTGTATTTCACGTCTCTTCTTAGTTTTAAGACCAGAGGTCGCTCCCGATCAGCACATTTAACTTTGTTTTCTTGAGCTCTTTTCACTCCCTTCGGGGCACAGCCTCTCATGGTCTGATTTGTGTATTCTTGATAGTGATGTTGAGAATCTTTTCATGTGGTCATTGTCCACTCATCTATCTTCTTAAGAGAAATGTGTATTCCAATCCTTTGATCATTTTTTATTGGGTTATTTAGGTTTATTATTGAGTCATAATTGTTGACATATTCTGGATGTGTGATTTGTAAACTTTTTTGCCCATTCTGTAGATTGTCTTTTCACTTTCTTGGTGGTATCTTTGAAGCACAAAAGTTTTTAATTTTGATGTAGTCCAATTAGTCTTTTTTGTGTATTTATTGCTTGTGCTTTAGACAGCACATCTAAGAAACCATTGCCTCCTCCAGGGTCAGAGAGATTTGTGCTTATGCTGTCTTCTAATATCTTTTTTACATATAGATCTTTGATCCATTGAGTTAATTTTCTTATATGTCAGGAGGTGTGTGTGTCGGGGGGAGTCCAACTTTACTGTTTTGCGTTTGGATGTCACCACCACTTAGTTGAAAGATTCTTTACTTATGTTGACACCTTTTGGGAGATCAGTTGACAGCATGTGTATAGATTTATTTCTGGACTCTCTTCCAGAAATAATGGAATAATGTTTTTTTGGTTGAATGTGGCAGATGGTTATTGTAGAGAATCATCATTTTACTGAATATTCAAGCAATATTGTATAACTATTTGTGTTTTATGATTTTTAAGTGATACTTTTTATTCAGTTAAAAGTTATAGAAAACTTGAAAAATGTCAAAGAGAACAAAGAAAATAGAAAAATCACCTAAAATCTCATTACCCAGAGTAAACATAATTTCAGTTAGATACACATGTGTATTTTCAAAGGAACAGTGTTATAACTTAATTTTTTCATACAATGATTTTGATCTCATTGCAGTTATTGATCACTTAGTAATAACATATTTGTGCATATATTCAGTTTACCTGTAGGAAATTAATTTTTACATATAAATTTTCTAATTGATCTACCTAACAACTTTTATATTATTTCTAGTAATCCTTCAGTTGATTTCGGCTTCCTGAATGTTCAGTTACAGCATCTACATATAATGATAACTTAGTCACATTTTTTTTCAAGTATCAGCCTCTTTGCTCTGTGGACTAGTTACTTACTAGCAGTTCCTACAAGTGGCCATCAGCAGGGATGCCCATCCCTTGGCTCTGGTGGTGACTCCACTCCTTTCCTGCTCCCCAGGCTCCCAGGACACCCTCCTCTCCATCAGGCTTTTGTTGTAACTAATCTCCTAACTGATCTCCCTAGGTCTTCCATGCCTTCTTCCAGCCCCTTCTCTGCTAAAGCTGGTGTGATTTTTAAAGAGAACTTTATTAATTACAAATGTTCTCTTTGAGCAGTGTGGGGTATTGTTATAAATGCTCTACACTTATTCTTCACAGTCCTGGAAGGTTTATAGTTTTAGTCTAAGATAAAATAAGGTTTTAAGATTCCATAATTAACAAGTGTCCATGTCAGTCCATCTCCATCTGTCTTGAAAGTTCATGTTTCTTTATTCTTCATATGTTTTTATATATCTTTTGTCTACAGTTGTCAAGGCCTGTCTTGGTTTCTAGAAACTTTATTAGCTGTTTCTTTATCTATGTCCCTTAGTTTTAGATAATTTCTTTCCTCACTGATTTGGTTTTCTGTTTTATTCAGTTTGTTAGTCCTTGTTTCAGTTGAAGTTCATAATGCCTAGATCCTCTTTTTCCCCTGATGTTATAAACTAAGTCATAACACTGGGAATAAGAGTTCTAGTTAAGTAGAGCACAAAGAAACACCTCAGAGGAACTGATGGTGAACATCTGCTTATCCATTTTCCTTATTTATCAACTCTACTTTAGGTTTTTAAATATATTGGTGTTTAACACCTTGGGCTGAAATACTGATTTGCTACCAAACTATAATTTTAGTTTCGTATTAAATACTCATAAAACAAATAATTAGCATTTTGTGAAAGATAAAGCCATGCTAGTAATCAAAACCAGTTCACTGCCTCACAGTTTAGAATATCCCACTATAGGAGGTCTATCTCCTAGTCCTAACCAGCCTTGGTGGCAAGGATTCCCTGACATGAACAAACCAAGCCTTGTGTTTTCCATCTGTAAATGAGAATAATAATACACACAATTCAGGACTTTTGTGAAGATTGGTTGAAAATGTGACAGTGCTACGAATAGCAATTAAGATCCATTGATACCAAAGACCTTTCACAATGATGTCTTCCTCAGCATCTTGTTAGGTCTCCTAAGCTTTTTATCAGTCATAGAAACAAAGTGTAATTTTTATTCTTATTTCAGGTGACAAATGGACACCTGAGCCAGGAGGCCCTGGAATCCCAGATGAGAGCACTAATCTACACAGACTCAGATCTTATTGTCACCCCAATTATCGACAACCCCAAGGTGCGGAAAGATGTGTAACCACCAAGGGCTGGGTTTTAGGCTTCACTGAGGGCTGGAATTGGTGATGTTTTCATTCAGAATATTCTTTGCTATTCCTCTTGTCTGCTTCTTTCATTTGAGCGACTACGTCTGCCTTTCCAGCTCCCACCTGGTCTACAACTCTTTCCTTCACTTCTACCTCACTGGAGTGGTGAGTTTTCTCCTCACTGTTTTGTTTTTTAAATATTTATTTTTCAGTTTTAGGTGGACACAATATCTTTATTTTTATGTGGTGCTGAGGATCGAGCCCAGTGCCTCACGTGTGCTAAGCGAGGACTCTACTACTTGAGCCACAACCCCAACCCTTCTCCTCCTCCTCCTCCACTGTTTTTGATGTTGCAGCTCTGCCTCTTGTTACTGCAGTCTTGACATGTGGGGGTTGGCTGCAGCCCTCTACACCGCAGACCTTAGCTCTCAGTCCCTTTCTTTCTCCATCCATACGTCCTTGATTCACTCCAAGTATCCTGGTTGCTGAGGTATTAAAAGGTGGCCATGGGTCAGTGAGTGGTGCTCACCAGGCTGAGGCTGAAGGTGAGCGGGTCATACAGAGACCCCTTTCTCTAGAAGGCTGTCAAGCTGCAGAGCAGATGTGGGAGCAACAGCCAGAGTGTAGGGAGTCATGGTTCACAGTGCATTTCTAACCCAGAGTGAGCTTTGTTTCTTCATGTGTTTTTGGATGTAATATTATGTTACTAAGGTGTGAATAATCACCTTTAAAATAATTACTTTCTTTGTACTGCTGTTTTTTATTATTTTTTTAATCCAGACCCCCAACACATTTCACACTTTACTTCCTGTTCTAATTTTATGAGTTCACATGTCTGGCAGAGTAACTGTGAATTATACTACATTTGATGGGTAATGGAGCATTTCCCCCAGTGAACTTTCTATCAAACTATTTGATTATATTGGACCATGTTCTTTTTCTTTGGTTTTATAACCCAACTTTTAGGACCAATTTTAGATATCGAGGAAAGGTTCAAAATTATAGTGGAACTCTTGGGTCTCAAAAGGCATTCAGCTTCTCCTGGTGTGAGTCATCTTATAGGACCACAGTACTATAGCAAATCCAGGAATTAAAGATTGAAACAGTGCTGTCAGCTACCAGATTTATTTGCTTTTTTCCCCACTGTGCCATTAATGCCCCTTTTCTGTTCTAGGTTTGTGTATTACAGTTATTAATGTCTCCTCTGTCTCCTATAATCTGTCCTTGTTTTTTATGGCCTTGTGATACTTTCTCAGTCTTTCATGACTTTTGCACTTTGAAGAGTAACTGGCTAGGTATTTTGTAGAATGTTCTCAGTTTGGGTTTAAGGATTTCTCATGATTAGAATTTAAAGTGAGACCAGGAGATTATACATTTTTCTCAAAGGAGTATTACCAGTAAAGGGTTTTAAAATGCTATATGTAGAGGTTATGGAGAAGTTAAACATAGAAATAGCGAAATTTTCAATGAAAAACCTCAAGGTGAGTACCGCAGCTGTTCTGAAGTCATGGATCCAGCTATGTGGTTTCTTCACTTTTCTCTTTATGCTGTTCCATCTGCCTGGAATGGTTCTTCTCTAATACATGAGGTCCTACTTGGCCTTCCAGAACACAACCTGCCTTCTACCTCTTTCATCAACCCTGTCCTGACTACATCAGCCTAGAAGTTTTTGGTCTGTTCTCTAAATTACATTTAAAAAATTTCTCTGAAATGTTTTGTTTATAATTATGTCCTGCATGTTTTGATTTGCTAAATATTTTGTATTGTATTTGTAGTTTAACAAATGTTTATCTCATGTCCCGACAAGAATATTGGCTTCCTGACAATATGATCGTGTCTTTTATTTTGTACCCACCTTAGTGCTTAGAATAGTCTCTCACTCTGGTAGGTACCCAGTAAATATTTGTCAAATGCTAATATTTCTAACCTAGACAAATTAGTTGAAGAGTAATCCAAGGTAGGGCAAATCTTTTTTGTGAAGGTATATTTTATTGCAGATATTGGTTGAAATGATTTTTAAAAATAAATTGTCTATATTTTAATCTGAAATAGCACTGTTGAATTCTTTTTCTTTTTTATGATAAATTTTACAGCATTTGTTTTCCTCATTGATTTATATTTTGTAGGAAACATTTTAGGGGAGACACATTTGTCTCAGAATCTCAAAATGCATCTTAAAAGATTTTTAATTTTTTTTCTTATAACCACAGATTTTGAAGCAACCACCAGTTAAATTTGATCCAAAAATATTGCATCTACCAGCACATTCAGGTAGGCTCATAAATGGCTTATCAAACATTCAAACTTTTGAATTCAGATTCAAATATAAAATTTATATGCAAATAAAATTTGTGTAGGAATAAATAAATTTCTATTGTTTTGCTATTTGGCTATGTCTTCAGGGCAGTGTTATGCAAATTATAAACCATCTGCAATCTATTCCTGCCAGCTTTTGATGTTCCTCAGCTGGCTCTGTCTGTCCTGCACTCTTGTCCATGCGTTTTCCTATTCAGTGAATGGAGAGTCTTCTCCTTCCCTTCCCTTGGAGAGCTAGTAGAATTTCTTTGATTTACAGAGCCCTTCTGGTTACACAGGGTTGGGACCATAATGAAGAAATGGAGTCTTACTCAGCATACTGCTATGAGGATTGTGTTTGAATAGAGATACTTAAAGAATGTTTGTTATGTTTCCTTTCAGCTAATGAATGTCTTAATCTTGAGTGTACACCAGAAACTTTTACATACCTTCACTTGATTGAAGAAGCTGAACAAATGATACTTCAAGTTGTTAAGCTAAATTTGGAGAAAATTCTTTACTATAGTCATGTAGTATTTATGATTTGAAGTAAATTCAAAATAAAGTATTCAAATTTGAATAAACCAACTAATGCTTTATATAGGTCAACTTAACTAATAAAGCCCCCAAATCTCAAAGAGGATTGTTTTGGAAAGACTAAAATGAAGCAAAATATTATTCATAGTGCTTTCAGTGCCATCGATTATTTATGAAACATTATCTGAAGTAATATTCTTCTTTCCCCTTTGAGTTATTTATAAATTTATTTTTCCAGTTTATCTTTCTTAAAGAGATCAGCTGAAAGTATGCACATTTTAATTCATTTTTTAATATGGAGATTGAACTCAGGGGTGCTTACTGCTGAGTCACATCCCACCCTTTTTAAAGACAAGTCTCACTAAGTTGTTTAGGGCCTCACTAAGTTGCTGAGGCTGGCTTTGAACTTGGAATCCTCCAGCCTCAGCCTCCTGAGCCACTGGGATTTCAGGCATGCGCCACCATGTGTGTCTGCACATTTTAGATGGTATCTCATTTTCTAGCCTTTGCCTTTTGTTTGTATAGGGACTTGGAGGTAGGAATTCTAGGTGATTCCAGCTATTGTATAAACCTGGTTCTAATGAGCAGTAATTTCATTTTAAAAATTTCACTTTTTAAAAAATATTTTTTTTTAGTTGTAGATGGACACAATACTTTTATTTATTTATTTATTTTTATGTGGTGCTGAGGTTTGAACCCAGAGTGTGAGTCAAGCACTCTGCTACTGATCCACAATCCCAGCCCTCATGGGCATGTTTTAACAACTGTACAACCTATGTCTTTTTCAGTATTTTAGGACTGGGCTGATAGAAAGATAAAAAGGCTATCTTGTTTTCTTGAAATACAACTTTATCTATATTTTGTTAAGTCCTAGGTTGCAGAACAGTTCTCCTTTACTCATCTGCCTGCCTTTTTGAGCAGCTTTCCATTGAAGTAGTTAAGAAGTTTCCTTGGGTAGATGGAGATGAAGACTATAGGACAAAGAAAAGTAGTGTCGTCTGTGGAGTGTTTTTGGTTTGACAGTGTTAAGGTTTTCTTTGTCCTCATCCTTGCTCTCAAAATTCTGTTTTATTTCTCATGTTTTCAGCAGTACTTTTTTTCACATAATATATTACTAAAATAAATATATATATATATATATATATTTATTTTATTTTTTCCTCTGCAGTTGACAAGTTGTTATTTCTGAAAGACCAAGATTGGAATGACTTTTTGCAACAAGTGTGCTCACAGATTGACTCCACTGAGAAGAGCACAGCGGCCTCCCGAGCTAAGCTGAATCTCCTCTGCTATTTATGCGTGGTGGCTGGTCACAAGGAGGTAGCCACCAGGCTACTCCATTCCCCCCTGGTAGGTAGAGTGAGGCAAAAAGCCTTTTCTAGAGTCCCCACAACTTGCCTTCATGTGCTTAGCTGTTGGAGATTACAAGATCTTAAGTTCATGAAAATTATTCATATTTTAATTTTTGGCCTAAAAGCACGGGGTAATTGGTGATTTCAAGGTTTTTTTTTTGTGTGTGTGTGTGTGTGATTCTCAGCTTTTGTTTTATGTAACTTAATTCTAAGAAATTTTTCACATATGCATTGAACTGTCCTTTGGAATATGGGGCCCCTTGACTGGGCCAACCTGGTCAATGCCAAGGCTTCTGAGATGACATTGAGGGGAGGCCTCAAGGGTCTAGACTTATTTTCTGTTGCCCCTGGAAATATTATTGCTTGGAATGTCTTGGCTTATTAGTAAACCAAGATTTGGCAGAGCTTTTGAAGTCCTCTTCTAGGAGGAATTACAGTGGTTTGGAGGTGTTTTTTGTAAGGGACCTCATTTGGGAACTAACTTGAAAAAAAATTAAGTGCATTTTGCATTAATACTATTAAGATAGTATTAATGATTTCTTTTGATAGTTGGTGTATCAGGTGGGAGTGGAATATAAAGTGGCAGTAAATGGTAAGAAAAAGTACTTAGTTTTTGGTTTTACTTTATTCATGTACTCAGTGCTTTGCATATTTGTAAATTACTTTCTTGGTGTATAATTTACATTTTAGCTGTGTAAAGATCTGATTTGTTAACTTAGTCATCACTTTCTGTGCTGTTTCATGAATTAAACGTATATTTTTAAAATTCTAGTTCCAGTTGCTAATCCAGCATTTGCGAATAGCTCCAAATTGGGATATGTAAGTAACATTTATATTTTAAAGAGTTCTTTGTGGTTTTATGAAGTTATTACAAAATACATATTTATAACAAGTGCTGAGTCTAAATGCAATTTCTGGAGGCATCCTGATTTGTTCATTTAAAAAGATTTAAAAATAGACATTATCCTACTATAAACACAATTCTAGGATTATCTAAGCAATGTCTAGAGACTTTATTGACTGTTACTCTTGAGTATTCATTGTGGAATGGATTCTGTGTTTCCTGTTACACTCCTGTGAGTTTTCCCGTTGCTACTTGTTTATGTACTGCAGCACATAGTTTGCCTGTGATCTGTAAACTCCTGAGGGAAGAAGTGTAATTTTTATGGACTCTGCGTGCCAGAGTGAAAAGCACATTTGCATCAGGTATTAGAGGGCTCAGGGCTCTGGCTGCCAATGAGATGTAGCCAAATGCTGAAATCTTCTTCTGAGTCTCTGCTTCCTGGGGAATGTGCATAGGACAGAGGCAGACCTGGGTGTGGTGGATTCCAGATTTTCCCCCTGGGAAAATTGCTTTAACTGCTGACCCTCACTTACCTTATCTGTAAAATGGAGATAGTGTAACTACCTGATAAACTAAATATGTGGAAAATCTTTTACAGTGGGTACATTTTAGTGGGTGCTTAATATACATTGGGGGTGTGGAATTTGTAGTTCTTATTATCATGCATACTTATGATTGTTAGGAGAAACATATGAGAAAAGGGAGGTGAAGGAATTTTGTGAATTGTGGTAGTGGCATGATAGTAATTGTTTTTCCCTGCTGGCAAAGTGTACAAAATGCTTTAGGGTAATTAATCATCCTGATGCATCTTCCAATGTTACTCTCCCAAAGTAAAATTTGGTGTAAAGAAAAAGGTGATAGTTGAGCATTTAATGAGATTTGTTGTATGTTCATTGAAAGGAACCATTGAAATTTTTATTAAAATACTTTTGTTTAAAGCTTCTCTTTGAATGGAGTGCCCCCTAGTGACATTAGAGCAAACATTAGTTCTTTCCAAGTACTGCTTTAAAACTGTTTCTCATTTTTTAAATTGAAGTTTAACTGTAAAACGGTTTTGAGGAAAATGATAAATATTAAGGTAGACAAGTCCTCTGATTGAAGCCTTCTTTTTCAATAAGGAAACTGCTGCTTCTAGTTTTGTTCAGTTTTCCAAGTTTGTTCTGCATATAGGAAAACAAAATTAGAGTCACATGATACAATTTTAAAGTTTCTCCTCATTCTCTCTCTATATAGATACCTGTGTGTGTTACCTCAATTCTACTTTCTATATCTATGAATTTGGTTATTGTGTGTACTTATATGAGTAGAAGTATGAATATTTGTCTTTTTGTGTGTGGCTATTTCATTTAGCTTTGTTCTCAAGGTCCATCCAAGTTATAGCATGTGCTAGAATTTGATTCCTTTCTTTTTAAGGTCAAATAATGTTCTAATATTGTGTATCCTTTCATCTGTTGGACACTTGCATTGTTTTTACCTTTTGACCATTGTGAATCATGTTCTATGAATGCTGGTCTTTGTTTATTTTCCTGATTATAACTCTTCCAGTTGGAGATCATGGTTTTGGTTTACATTTCTTTTGTGACTAGCAGCTTTTCAGGTACTTGTCGGTTATCTGTATCTTCTTTGGAGAAATGTCTATTCAAGTCCTTTGCCCAATTTTGAATTGAGTAATTTTTTTTGTTCTTTATATATCCTGGGTATTAACCCTTATCAAATAAGAGATTTGAAAACATTCTCTTTCATCCAGAGGGTTTTTTGCCTTCTTACTGTGCTGTAGTGATCTTTGATTTATAAAAGGTTTTGATTTTGATGAAGTTTGATTCAAGTAGTTTTTCTTTGCTTGTTTGTGCTTTTGGTGCCATATCCAGAAAGTCAGTGTGAAATCCAAAGTCATAAAGTTTTCTCCTATTTTTTTTTTTTTTGCTAATAGTTTTATAGTTTGCTTTGGAGTTTAGATCTTTGATATGTTTTTGAATTAGTATTTGAAAATGGTGTAAGTTGAGGGTAAAACTTGATTGCCTTTGTGTGTGGATATTGTTTTACCTATACTTATGTGTCAAAAGGTTTGCCTTTCCCCATGGAATGGTCTTGGTACCTTTGTGGAAAATTGTTTACACATATATGTGAGGATTTATTTCTTGGCTCTCCATTCCATTGGTCTGTATCTTTGATTTTATGCTAATACCATACTGTCTTGATTACTGTAGTTTTAAGTTTTGAAATTGTGAAAGGTCCAAATTTTTTGAGATTGTTTTAGCCACTTAAGTATCCATTAGGATATGAATTTTGGGGCTGGGGTTGTGGCTCAGTGGTAAAGCACTTGGCTAGCATGTGTGAGGCACTGGGTTTGATTCTCAGCACCACATATAAATAATAAATAAATAAAATTAGAAAAAAGTACTTCCCCAAATTCATTTTTTAATTTTTTTTTTTTTTAGTAATAGTTTTACATCTGAATAAGATGAGGTTAAATGCTCATCTTTTTGGAACATTTCCTCCATTTCTATGATCAAATTCACTTCTTAGTTGATCAAATTTCATTATTCTGTAGGTTTGTTTTGTTTACTTTTCCAAGAAGGCCTCTCTGTGGCTCTGCTTCTGGAGTAGTTGCCTCCTTGGGTGTTTCTGTCAGACCCTGTAGCTCAGGGAGGTGGTCTTGCCCCTGGAGCCATTCACCTCCATGCCACAGTTTGGACTTATGCTTTCTTCCCCTGTGCTGACTTTAGCTCTGCAGGAACTGGGGCCAACGTCAACTTTTCTTCCTCTTGTGTGTATCTTGTTTGAGTTTGCTTTATTTTGTCTGAACTTTTCTTTTTATTCCAGTACAGGCAAGTTTTTATCAGACCATATGTAGGAATCTTTTTACAAACATGTTATAGCAGTTGCTTTACTAAATTTCTTAGCTCCTCCCAACATTTCATCCTTTTATGCTTCTGAAAATAGGAGCAGTATGGGTGTGGGATTTGTCTTTTTACTCTTCTCTCAAACTCTTTTGCTTTCTCACTTTGTCCTTTTTATTGTGGTACAGTTCACTATAAAATCAACTTTTTAAAAGTGTAGAGTTTGGGCTTTAGTACATACAAAGTTGTGCAACCATCACTGCTGTCTTATTTCAGAAGATTTTTATCTTCCAATGAAAACCTTGTACCTCTTTTGTTCCCCTAGCCTCTGAAAACCACCTACCTAATTTATGTTGATTTTTTTTTTTTTTTGGTCCTATGCTGGACTTTGCAAATAAATGGAATCATATAGTATGTGGCCTTTTGTGCCTAACTTCTGTCATTTTGCAGGCTTATATTTTTTGTAGGTCAAGGTTAATCCATCTTGTATGTATTAGTTCGTATTCATATGCCAGTTTTTGTCTGAACTTAAATGTTTTCATCACAAATGTAACTAGTAGTTGAAATGCTGGCTTATACGCTGTGTTCAATCTTTTGAAGAACTGCCATGCTCTTTGCTTGCTGTTCAGTATCTCTCTGTCATCAAGCTTGGTATTTATCCTGGTTATTTTTTAGGATTTCTAGTGAATTTTAATAATCATTTTTGAAAGTTTTTATTTTTTTGTTCTCTGTTCTTTATTCCTTCCTACATTTGGTATGAAATATACTTTTTTTTGGAGATAAATGTTAGGATTGTTTAAAAAAAAATCCTTTGAGATATATTAGGATTAAATATAATAATTAATATTTAAGGTAAGGCCTTAGTATTATAAAACTTGTGCGCTTATCTCTTGAACCTGTAGGTCACTTCTTTTTCATTATAGTTCTGCTTTTTAATGCTGTTTATTTCTCAAATGCCTGATGATATTTTATTCTTACTTAATATGATCAAATGATGTATAATGTGGTAATACCAGTTTCCTCCATGCTTGTTTAGTGTTTCTCCTTTAAGGGAGGAGCCCTGTGTATCAATAGGTGGGATCTGTTGGCTGGTGGACAGGTGTATTTTCTTTTTCTTTCTCTTTCTGTCTTTCTTTCTCTTTTTCTTTCTTTCTTTTTTTCTCACTCTTTCTCTTTCTATTTTTCTTTCTCTTTCTCCTTTCTTTTGCTCTTTCTCTTTTTCTTTCTCTTTCTCTTTCTTTTTTTTCTTTCTCCTCTTTCTCTTTTTCTTTCTTTTTCTTTTTCTCTTCTTTCTTTCTCTTTTTCTTTCTTTCTCTTTCTCTTTTCTTTTTCTTTCTTTCTTTTTGTTTTTTCTTTCTTTATACTTGGAATTGAACTCAGGGGTGCTTAACCACTGAGCCACATCCCCAGCCCTAGGGTCTCAGTGAATTGCTAGTGCCTGACTAAGTTGGTGAGGCTGGCTTTGAATACTCAATCTTCCTATCTCCCCAGTCGCTGGAATTACAGGCATGCTCCACCACGACCGGCCTTAGGGGTTTCTTTTATTCTCTGTGTGATTCTGTTTGTCATCTGGGACTTTCTATTCCACTTTCAGCCCTTCTTTGTTTCTAATTATCATGGAGTTAAAATAATTTTTCTACTTTAACAGATTCTTGAAGGGATCAGTGTCTAGTCTGCTAACATGATTGTGATTTATGGAGGTTTCATTTTTTATTTACTGTATAATATACACAGAAGTGCTTCTAAATTTGCAGGTGTCAAGGCTTTTTTGCTTATCATTTCCACTTCACTATTTTTATTATAATAGTGAATTCTATGTAATATTTCTGCTTTTGGGAGTGTTCTAATTTATCTTTGTGGTCTTGTATAAAATCAATTTTTAAAATTAGGCCACGAATATGGTCAATAATGGTAGCTAACCTGTTCAATTCAGACTCCAAGATAGTTTCTACATGTGGATTATATCCCTTGATTCTTACAACTTGATGGAGTACATACTATTAGTCCTTCTGAACTTATGAGGTAACCAAGACCCAGGCACATAAAAGATGAGTAACTACTCAGGGTACTGTTGCCCCCATTATTCTCACTGTGGACTCAAGACTATGCATAGGACATGTGGTTCCTAGTCATCGATACTGTCCAGTACAGTCTTCCATTGAGTAAGAGTGTTCATCTTTTTCCAGGGTGTAGAGTTTGGTATATACATGTGTTCCATTAGCCTTGTTGGTTTTACCATGGATGCTTGAATGTGTGTATGTTCACTTTTTATTGCTGAGCTTGGGGAAGAAGTAGATTGAAATTTCTGACTCCCTTTGGCTTTACTTTCATGCTTTGTTATTTGTTGTATGAAGGATCATACCTTATATTTTTTGTAGGTCATACAGTTTTTAGTTTATAAGAAAATTTCTCATTTAATGCTTTTAGCCTTGAATTCTGCTTTACTTCACTTCACTTTAGCCTTGAATTCACTTTCACTTCTGAATTCTGCAATGTGCAGCCATATGTTTTATCCACTCCTTTCCTGCTAACACATGTAGTAACTTAGTTTTTGATGATGTGATCATTTTTGTTAAGCAGACATTTAGAAAGGGCATACTTGTACTCCAAGCACTGGTCTCAGTGTTCACAATGGTGAACAGAACAAAGCTCTGCCTTCATTGACTTTAAGGGTTGACCTTGAGGGAGTTAGATAATAATTGAGTAAACAAATGAACAGTAACAAAAAAATTTAAATCAGCTCTATGCTCTAATATGACTTAACTAACTACATGTAGTTTGTTAAATTAAAATTCAATAAAATTTAAGTTCCTTGCTTGCACCAGGCATATTTTATGTGCATGATTAGTGATGTTTTCAGTGTATACTGCATTGAAGAGTGTGGTCATGGAACATTCCTGTTATTACATGGAAGTCTGTTGGACACTGCTGCCCCAGATGTTCTTGGGGATACAGGATGGTTCTTAGGAGACTGTCCTGAGTTGGGGAGGGGATTAGAACCTGGAGTGGCCATATTGAAGAAAACTGAATTCTGAAAACGACGGAGTCTTGTGAGGGTATTGTGTATAGAGTATTATTGTATATAAGTTTTTGTTATAAACTGAGGACTACTGTCATTATTACTTTAAGTTTATAATTGAAAAGTATTAGTGTTTTTAGGTAGGGTATTTTCTCTGATTTGATTTGAAATTATTTCTGGGGAAATTAGAAATATTACTATGTTGTGATACATTTTTATTTTAGTTGAATAAATCTAGTAGATAATATTTAATTTTGTAGATTGAGAAATGATTTAGTGTCTCATAAATTTTTAAAAAATTTTCTAGTTGTAGTTGGACACAATACCTTTATTTATTTTTATGTGGTGCTGAGGATCGAACCCAGCGCCTCACACATGCTAGGCAAGCGCTCTACCAGGCAGCCCCAGCCCCTCAAATATTTTTGAGCTTATTTTTGAAAACAGGTTTTGTGTTTCATATTGTCTAATTGGTGAGTTTTTGATAACAAGCATTTGTTTTACAATTGTGAAAAAAAACCCAACTAGATCTTAATGCAGCTACCTGTTTGAATTGCACACATGGCAATAAAGCAAGTGACTTGGTTGCAATTGCAGCTACTCAATGGCCTTGTTTGTCAGCTTTCTGTTGCTGTGACAAATACCTCATTCAAAAAACTTAAAAGTAGTGCCACAGGCTGGGGACATTTAGGATCCAAGGCATAAAAATGGCAAACTGGAGCCTGGAAGCTTCTTTCTTTTGTAAATTGGTATAATATCCTACCAAATCTTTTTCAAAATGATCACTTTTAAAGTACAGTCTTTATATTCAGAGGTGGGATGGTAATCATGAAATGGCTAGGACTTTTATCTGCATATGTTAAGAGAATTGAATTCCATAAGAATTATCTGTCAGAAGTGTCACTGCACATTTTCCCTGTGCTACTTCTGAGTAGCATGGGTCCTGGGAATGTTTAAGGAACTGTGAAAATTAGTGCATGCTATGAGCCAGGAAACAGGCAGGTGTCACTAAATGTGGTTCTCATCAACTTCCCATTTTCTTTTCTGGTGAAAAAAATCTTAATTTCCTATATTTCAAACCACACTGAGGTCTGAAGTTCAATTTAGTAATTTTTTCAACTTCATTTTTTGCTAGATGCCAAAGAAAAGCATCATTAAAACTAAATAGGATTAATTAAAATACAAATAATCTTTTTAACGGTGCTCATATTATTTACCACCTATATAGAAACTCACTAGCTCAGTAAAAGTGGAATAGAGACCTTAAGCCAAATGCCTGTGTACTCACATAAAAGGGTTAATGAGTATTTCTCTCTTGTCTCAGGTTAAGGCCTTTTCAAAAGTCCATTTTCCGTTTCATCATTAAACCATAGCTTGTTTAAATTTTGTCAACATAATAGAATTACAAAGGACATGGTTATTCCAAGTTTTTCCTTATACATGAGGGATGGTTTCTTTGGACATTGTATGTGTGGATTATAGGCCTGTCCTGTTACACTGAATTTTTATTTCATATTCTTATATCTAAAGCATGTGACAGCTAGTATTGACTTCCTTGGTCCTGACTCTTCTTTTCAAAGTTTGTATTCTCTCCATTTACAGACGGGCCAAAGTTGCTCGGGTAATTGGTTTGCTGGCTTCGCACACAACTGAGCTCCAGGAAAATACACCCATTATTGAGGTAATTTCTTTCATTACTGACATGTTATGAATGACAAAAAAGATTGTTTTTTTTTTCATGATTTAGAACATACAGCTTTATGTTGACCTTCACTTAATTTTTTTTTTTTTTTTGTGGAATTGTGGCAATTGTAAAATGAGGATCTGGATAGAATTAAGCTCATTTACAACAGTTGTCTCTTACTGAAGATGGTGTGGCAGAATACAAGGCCTTTTTGAAGCATTCTGTATAATTCAAATTGAAATTCTTTTGGCTTTTTACCTTGATTTTGTTTTCATCCTCACTAGTTGTCAGTTATTTCTTGATAACTGATTCCAGTATTTAATGGTCATTCATGCACTAAGGATATTTCTAGTATCAATCAGTCATTTCTTTCAAGTACTGATACTGGGAATTTTTTCTTATTTAGTTAATAATTTTAAGTTCTGTGAAGTGAATACTACTGTTGTACTACTTATATGAATGTCTTTGAATACTGAAAATAGCTTTCTACCTATCCTGTTAATGTGAAGTATAGTCAATTGGTAATGGATTTTTATTCCTTGGACTGGGAAAGAGTCAAAATGCATAAAAAAACCCCCAAAGCTTTTAGGGTCAAAAACTCAGGGTAAGGAGAGGGGCTTTGGTATATCAGAAGCTGATGGTGTGGTATTGGAGCATTTAGAGGAATTATTTGTCTAAGTACTGTCCAAATGAACTTTCTGTAGTGATGCAAACATCCAAGCAGAGGCCTGAAGGAATTGAGGAAATGAGGTGAACTATCTGGCAGAAGAGTATTTGAGACAGGGCGAATAGCATTTGCAAAAGGCTAGAGGTAAAAAAAAAAAAGTGTGGTTTGCCTGTTTCAAGGAAGAAGGAGGGGTGAATATAGGGCTGATGAGATGATTGGTAGAAGATGAAGTGTCAGGAACTAGATGATGTAGATTTGTTGTAAGATGTGATAAGAACTTGGGATTTTATTCAAAATAAAATGGAGGCCACTGGAGGATTGAGAACAGAGGAGTACACTGTTGTGCTTATGTTTTAAAAGGATCACCCTATTTCAGGGACAGGGTAAGGTAGACTCAGACTAGTGTAGAAGGTGAGAGGTGATGGTGACTTGCATCAGGTTTTTAGTCACCTATGCATACTTGCATGTACTTACAAATATACTTATTTCCTGGATATACTAGAAGAGTGACAGATTTGCTAATTGCTATAATATCTGAAAGCAGACTTTAATATCCAAGAAGTCTGGCCAATATAAATTCTAATGTTCAATGTTCCAAATGCTGAGTTGTCATGGAAATGCAAATGAAAAGAAAAGTGAAGTGTCAAAATGGTCACCAGATGGGCACAAATGAAAAAGTCTCTCAATCCTACATGGTTGTGGTAGTACTGGATAGAAGGAGCTCTTAGATGCTTCTAGGGGGAGTATGAATGAATGTAGCCATTCTGGAAAACTTCTTGGCCATGAAAACATTTCTACCTGTAACTGAGCATCTATTACCTTAAAACTCAATGTGCCAAATGACACAAGTAGTTACATACTGACAGCATTGTTTATAACAGCCCCACATTTAAAATAATCCATATCCATATTCCATCAACAGAAGAATGGGTGAAGGGTGTCACATTCAGTGCGCTAGTCAGTGCTGAATAGCATTGAGAGTGACGAACAGCAGCATTGGGCAATAGGCCCAAGTGAATCTCAGTCATAGACTATTGTTCTAGACTGACTGTAGGTCATTGCATGGGAAAGACTGATCATATATTCAGAACTATTCTGTGGGTTGTGGTTCCTTCCTAGAAGGGGAGCTCCCCTTGAGTAGACAACATGGGGGAGAGATGAGCAGGTGGGTGTTGTGGAAGGTGCATGGAAAGGAGAGTTGCCTTGTGGCTTAGTTAGGGGAAGACAGGCCAGAGGTCAAGGCTGTATTGTGATGCTGTCCTTAACCCCTGTGGCATCTTTATGCTTGGAACCCTCTGTAAGTGGCTGGGAGGTATGTTCTCCTGTGATGGGAATCCTCAAGGGTCTGAACAGAGGGCCTTTGCGGGAACTTGGGACCTGTCCATACCCTGGGTGATGTGATCTCACCTGTGGCCTGATCCTCTTGGTACTTGCTTTTGCTGCTGCCTGAGAGCTGAACTGCATAGTGGTTTGTACTGTTAGCTAGAGTTCTTGGCTTGTGCTTCCTTCTCTTTGGATGCTGGGTACTTAGTATTTCAGTATTTCTCCAATTCTTGTTCCTGTCCCTCTCACACACATAGTATTCCTGATGTTGCCTCTGCTGAGAGGAGAGGCCAGGCACTAGTTTCTGAGGTTCTGTATATTTTATTCTTGCACTGTTTCCCTCCGGGCTTTTCACTGGTGTTTTGGGTGCAGATTTGGGAGAAATAATCATTTCATTAAAAAAAGTAATACTTTGTTTATCTAGTAAACTTTTGAATTCAGCATACTACATAGTGAACCAAATTTTATTCGATAATGAGTTTACATCATAAGTTGAAATCATGCCAGGTGCTCCTTTGTGATGCAGTCTTTATTATTATTTTTTATGCTGGGGATTGAACCCAGAGCTGTGCTCATATTAAGTGTGTGCCCAGACACTGAGTGACACTCCCAGGCCCTGTGATGCCATTTTAAATTTTATTTCTTTTTTTTTATTATTGGTTGTTCAAAACATTACATAGTTCTTGACATATCATATTTCATACATTTGATTCAAGTGGGTTATGAACTCCCATTTTTACCCCGTATACAGATTGCAGAATCACATCGGTTACACATCCACTGTTTTACATACTGCCATACTAGGATTCTGCTGCCTTTCCTATCCTCTACTATCCCCCCTCCCCTCCCCTCCCATCTTCTCTCTCTACCCCATCTACTGTAATTCATTTCTCCCCCTTGTTTTTTTCCCCTTTCCCCTCACTTCCTCTTATATGTAATTTTGTATAACAATGAGGGTCTCCTTCCATTTCCATGCAATTTCCCTTCTCTCTCCCTTTCCCTCCCACCTCTCATCCCTGTTTAATGTTGATCATCTTCTCATGCTCTTCCTCCCTGCTCTGTTCTTAATTGTTCTCCTTATATCAAAGAAGACATTTGGCATTTGTTTTTTAGGGATTGGCTAGCTTCACTTAGCATAATCTGCTCTAATGCCATCCATTTCCCTGCAAATTCCATGATTTTGTCATTTTTTAGTGCAGAGTAATACTCCATTGTGTATAAATGCCACATTTTTTTTTTTATCCATTCATCTATTGAAGGGCATCTAGGTTGGTTCCACAGTCTAGCTATTGTGAATTGTGCTGCTATGAACATCGATGTAGCAGTATCCCTGTAGTATGCTCTTTTAGGTCTTTAGGGAATAGACCGAGAAGGGGAATAGTTGGGTCAAATGGTGGTTCCATTCCCAGCTTTCCAAGGAATCTCCATACTGCTTTCCAAATTGGCCGCACCAATTTGCAGTCTCACCAGCAATGTACAAGAGTACCCTTTTCCCCACATCCTCGCCAGCACTTGTTGTTGTTTGACTTCATAATGGCTGCCAATCTTACTGGAGTGAGATGGTATCTTAGGGTGGTTTTGATTTGCATTTCTCTGACTGCTAGAGATGGTGAGCATTTTTTCATGTACTTGTTGATTGAGTGTCTGTTCAGCAAAGTGGCAGGATATAAAATCAACACACATAAATCAAAGGCATTCCTGTGTATCAGCGACAAATCTTCTGAAATGGAAATGAGGACAACCCCCCCATTCACAATATCCTCAAAAAAAAAAAATACTTGGGAATCAACCTAACAAAAGAGGTGAAAGACTTATACAATGAAAACTACAGAACCCTAAAGAGAGAAATAGAAGAAGATCTTAGAAGATGGAAAAATATACCCTGTTCATGGATAGGCAGAACTAACATCAAAATGGCAATATTACCAAAAGTTCTCTATAGGTTTAATGCAATGCCAATCAAAATCCCAACGGCATTTCTTGTAGAAATAGAAAGTAATCATGAAATTCATATGGAAAAATAAGACCCAGAATAGCAAAAACAGTTTTAAGCAGGAAAGGTGAATCAGGCGGTATAGCGATACCAGACTTCAAACTATACTACAGAACAGTAGTAACAAAAACAGCATGGTACTGGTACCAAAACAGGCGGGTGGACCAATGATACAGAATAGAGGACACAGAGACCAATCCACAAAATTACAACTATCTTATATTTGATAAAGGTGCTAAAAGCATGCAATGGAGGAAGGACAGCATCTTCAACAAGTGGTGCTGGGAAAACTGGAAATCCATATGCAACAAAATGAAACTGAATCCCTTTCTCTCGCCATGCACAAAAGTTAACTCAAAATGGATCAAAGAGCTTGATATCAAATCAGAGACTCTGCGTCTGATAGAAGAAAAAGTTGGCTCCGATCTACATATTGTGGGGTCGGGCTCCAGATTCCTTAATAAGACACCCATAGTACAAGAGTTAATAACAAGAATCAACAAATGGGACTTACTCAAATTAAATTTTATTTCTTAAAGCACTTTTCAGTTCTTTTGTGAGCAATTGGATGTGACAGTTTAGCCACTAGATGTCACTCAAACACTGGAAAAATGTTATGTAAGTTTAACAATTTATCTTGTGAAAGAAGCAGATGTATGGAAATTCAGCAGGTATTCAGTACAGTGTTTTCATGTTTTTAGGAGTTTCTTCTAAAAAACTTAGCTTCATTCTATTGGTGATTGTTACCATTTTAGGTTAATGAGATTAATGAAATCCAGGATATCCTCTCCAGAAAAATTCACGCAACATCTTGCACACGATTTGAGGGGACTTGGGGACTATGTGGAGCCACTGGTGAACCTTCAGCTCAGAGCTTTTGAGACTAGTTTTCTGTATAATGCAGTTGGGTGTTTATATATAGTTTTTCAGTAAATCATTCATTAAAAACTTCAGGTGTTTGATGAATTTTTCTCTAGTCATTTTAATACCCATGAATAATAAACATAGGTTGAA